AGAAACAGCACCTGCATAACATCTCACTCCCCATGCCTCAGTTTCCCTGAACAGACACCACAGACTCTGTGACCTTCTCCTAGGGCAGAGAACTGCCTGTCTGCCTTCCTACCTGTGAGTTGTGGCCAGGGCATGGGGCTAGAGAGCAGCAGCAGATATGAACAAAGCCAGCCTAAGCCACCTGGGAGTCCACACCAAATGGAAAAGGAAGACCCCTGCCCCACCCTGGAGACCAGCCTGACCCTGAAGGGAATGGAGACTAATTTGCCACTTGAGGAAAATGAGGTCCAGAGGTCACTGGAGCTGAGAATCAACTGAGGGGGAGGGGGAGCACCAGATCTCAAGATGGTCCTGGGGGGTTGAAAGCCTGGGCCTGGGGGGAAGATGCATGGACTGCTCTAGGCTGGTACAGAGTCTGAGCTTCTGTCAAAGGGCAGAGGCCACTGTTCCCTAGGAAGGAACTTGGTGGAGCAGGCACTGCCTACCAGGGCACAGACAAAAGCAGTTGGCAGAGCTGGGGGTGGAGGGGAAGCTGTGGCTTAAGAGCCTAGGGTCTCTGCCAGACGTTAACACCTGGGGAAGCAGAAACTCACCCTTTTATTGCACCCCTAGCCCCGGCCAGGAGCCCCAGCCCCACCGTGTGCCACCCTGACCCCCTTCCCCAGTGGTGCTGGCTCGCCCCCGCTGGCACAGCAACACATGCGGGAGGCACACGTGTGAGCGCCAAGCTCCGCACCTCCCAGCAAGAACCGGAGCGCCCCACACCCTCGCTGCGCACGTGGGTCCGCGCCCAGGACCCCCTTCGGGCCCTCACGGGGTTCGGAACCTGGCACCTGGCAGAGGGGGTGTAGGTCTCCAGGGGCTTTGGAGCCTCCTCCCCGCAACCCCGCAGCAGCCCCGCCCAGCCCCCTCTGGGATGTCGCCCATAAAGAACTCTTCGTTGTCATGGAAATTAGTGACTGTCAAGCAGGAGGGAGGGGGCCCGGGGGCAGCTGGGAGGGGCTGGAGGCGGCTTAGGAAGCCGAGGGGGACCACTCAGCCCTCGGCCCCTACCCTCATGGGACACCTCCAATCTTCGAGGATTAATGCTTCCACAATTTGAAGGCGCAGAGGCTTCCCCCGCGACCCCGGAGCCGTCCAAGGCCAAAGGAACTTTAGCTCGATCCTGCACGCCACCCCCGCTTTGCAGATCCCGGGCGCGGCGACCCCACGAGGACCCGAGCCCGCACAGTCCCCTGGGCACACTGCGTCCGGAACTCCAGGCCAGGGAGACAACCCCCCAGGACCCCTCGTCCGTGAGGGAGGCGCCCCTTGACGGCCCAGCCCACCCTGCTCCGCACCTGCAGCAGCGGTCGGTCACTGGGAGGAGGCTGCCGCGGGCTCAGCAGGGTGCCGAGGGCTCCGGGGGCAGCGAGAGCAGAATCCGCTCCGGGCACGCGGGGCAGACGCGGCGCCAGCTGCAGCCGCTCGGGCTCGCGAACCCAGCATCGCCAGCCTCCTGCTGGCAGCGGATTCGCACTCGGGGCCGGGGGCGGGCTGGGGGCGGGGTCTCCTGGACGGCCCGCCCCCACCCTGGTGGAGCGGGAGACTGGAATCCCACCCCAAGAAGAGAGCAAGCAGGTTGACAATGCAGCCAGTCAGCCTGGACCAGACTCTCCGCGGCTCTCTTAGGCCCTCGAACTCCCGACCCGGCAGCAGGGAGCCAAGGAACCTTCTTATACCCAGAGTAGGGGATAGGACTTGGAGAACAGGGGAGAAGCCTAAGCTCTAGAAATAGATGATCAGGACTCTCCCCAGCTCCCTAACCCAGACCCACAGGACGAGACCCACTTGGAAAAGCCACATGGGTAACCTCTGGGCATCCCTATCTAGACACAGTAAACCCACAGGAGTGTATGAGAGCTCCTGCCCCCAATACCTGCAAAACCAAAGTCTTTCCCAGCTTAAGTCCCAGCCAGGTTAGCTGACACAGTGTACCCCCTCCCTATAATGGTGTATTGTCCAAACTGTAAAAGTCTTCTATGAGGGCTCGGGATTTAGCTCAGTGGTTCCGGCACCTGCCTTGCAAGCACAAGGTCCCAAGTTTGATCCCCAGTACCAAAAACAAAAAATAAAATAAATAAAAGTCATCTATGATTTGGGAGACTCAGGCAGGTATTCCCACCTAGGCAACTTAAACCCCGTCTCAAAATAAAATGTGCTGGGTATATAGCCCTGTGTTCAATCTCCAGTACCAAAAAAAAAAAAGTCACCCATGATATGGTATGGAGTCTGCTTTCTTTTCAGTCTAATCATCCTCAAACACTTCATGAACAGCATCCTGAACTAGGATATGGGGACACCTGAGAACTGTGGCACAAAGGCCCATCGGGCCTGGCATGTGACAGGGGAGAAAGTTTAGAATGGCTAGGAAGAAGCTTTGAAGGAAATCCTTGGCTATGACTCTGTCCTTTGCCAGGGAGGAATATGGACTCAACACTGGCCTTGCTCCCCTCACAAGCTCTGAGCACCAGCTCGAAGCTCGGCTTAGGCCTTTCAATGTCAGAAGCTGGGCTTCATCCCACCTCACTCTTCCTGCTTAGGCTTCTACCCTGCCCTGGGTGTGGGAGGATGAGGGCATCCCCAAATCTTCAGCCATGTCTACCATGGCTGATGACAGGAGGGGCTGTTCAAGTGAAAAAGCCGGAGCTAGGACTGAAGGCCAGCCTGGGAAATGACTGTCTCAAAGAAGGTCCCTCAATACCTTCATCCAGAGAGCTGGGCATAGTGATGTAGGCCTGTAGTTCCAGCACTCAGGAGGCTGAGGCAAGAGGATCGCCCAAATTCAAGGCCAGGCTGGACTACACAGTGAGTTCAAGGCCAGCCTGGGCTAAAAAGCAAGACCTTGTCTCAATACAAAACAAAACTTTTTCCAGTGACAATGTTGAGGAGCCATTCACATCCTTCTGTGGCTTTGGATCACCTCCTCTAGACCAGGCTGGTGCCACTTCTGGGCTTACTGGGTTCTGAGTGTTCTGGGTCAAAATACCTACCCCACTGCTGAGTAGGAATCTCTTGGAAAGCTGGGCATGTGAGGGCAGAGCCTGTTTCTCATCTCAGTGTGCTCAGCTAATGTCTGCAAAATGAATAAATGGCTTGGCACTCAGACCTTCCTGTCATGTTCCCACTGCCCTTAAAACAATGGGTCTCTGAGTTGTACAGGGTAACCAATCTATGGCTTGCTGACCCTACATGTGTCATATACACATTTTCTTTCTTTTTTCAGGGTCATCGTTATCTAGGCACAGATCCAAGGAGAAGCTGGAATAGGGATTTGCAGGCAAGAAAAGGGATGGCTCCCTAGAGCCTTGCCTGCTGCTGGCAATACTCCACCTCTTCTTGGTCCTGTGCACACTGTGTGTGCATGTGCATGAGAGCATGTGGCAGTGTGTGTGTGCACACGTGTATGTTCTCTTTTGCCAAAGGAAATGGTGACAGTATGCAGTGGTGTCCAGGGGCATGTGTGTCTGCATTCCGTGTGCATCCAGGCGTGCTTGCTGGCATGTGCGTGTGGATGCTGTAGCCAGCCATTAGAGCTGTGGATCCCCTTCCTGCCTCACACAAGTCTCTGGATTGTGGAGGCTGAATCAGGCTGTGAGTGCAGGACATGGGAAAAGGCTGGACTAAACCCAGGGGCAGGCAGTCTTTATGGTGACCATACATCATTGACTTTTACCAAGCTTCCCACCAGGGTGGTTGCTTGCTGTTAGGTGTGTGTGAGAGTAGGTAAACCTTTGTCATTTGTAGAAGGCAACCCAAAGACATGGCTTGTCCCTCAGCCTCCAGCCAGAGAGGCACAGACAGGGTAGGATTAGCCTCAGTCTTTTAGCTTCAAATTCTAGCTGCCCTCTGGGCAGGGGGCAGTAGTACCAGCTGAATGCCATCCTCTTAGCTTTTCCAGGCCATGGAATGGACCAACTCTAAGCCTTGTTTCTATGTTCCCTATTCAGAGCCTGCCAGGGTCAGGGGACATGACTTTTAGCTACCCACTTGGCCACAGAGACAACAGGAGGCCCTCAAGAATGAGACAGATTTTGAGACAACAGAGGCAGTGGCATCAGCAATGCTCAGTGGCCTCTATGAGAACCTTCCTGAGAAGAACTGTACCCTGGCCTCCTTGCAGGCAGGAGCCACTAGAGTTGGGAGGACAGGGAGGAGAAGAGAGTATATATTTTGGCTCCCACCAAAGCTAAAAAGTCAGGGGGGCAAGACAAGTTGTGAGCCTCAATATCCAGAGCCCAGAGAGCAAGCCAGAGCCTCACCCCCATGCCCAGGTTGTGCCGCCTCCCATCCAGAATTCAGGACTTATCTACCTTCTCCAGTCCTTGTTCTAGGGACCAACAGCCAGTGTTCCCATGTCATCATATTCTGACTGGTGGACAGAAGCCCCACTCCCACCTCCACCCAAGAATAGAGTTCTAACTAAGATTCAGATTCTAGGAGGTGCCTGTTACCAGGCAATCTTCCCAGAGAAGCCAGACTCTAAAAGGGACCCTCCCCTTGGGGTCAATGGCCCGTACCCCCAGCCATCTTTGGAACTGCTTGGCTATTGTTCATGTTGCTGGTTTCAGTCCCCAGAAGAAAGCTCAAAATAAGGAAGGGCAAATGATCTTCTGGAGCTAGGGGAAGGGGCTCCCCCCACCCCCCACCTCATGACTCATTCAAGGCTGTGTGGGTTATTACATTATGTCTGAATTGCCATGGCAACTAGCTGGCAATCAAGGGTAATTGTACTTTGTTGTCAGGGCAACAGGGCAAAACCCACAGCAGCCACTCTTTGTGGCTGCCCTTGGGGTGCAGTAAAGGTCAGGAAAGACCAAAGCCAATGTTAACCAAGGAGTCTTGGGGCTCTCCAGAAAGGGCAGGTTGCCCAGGCCCATAGAGTTTCAGAGTATAGAAGTAGGGTATGCCTTGGGAGAGCCAGGGCCTCCAACCCTGCCCCCATACCTGGACTCCTGCTTTCCCTGTACCACCCTCTGCCTGAAACATACACCAGTGCTTAAAGTAACCAGAACCAGAACTTTATGTGCTCACAGCTGGTACTTGTAGATAGCCCATGGGCCCTCCTCCTCATACTCATGGTGGCTGAGCCACAGGCTCTTGAAGGAGTCCCTCCATGCCATGATGGAGCCCCCAAGCCAGGCAGCAACTGCATGGTGGGGAGAGCCCAGCACAGTGGCACCAGGGCCCAACTCCTGTCTCAGGCGCTCAGGGAAGCCACTTAGAAGGGTGCTGCCACCATCCAGTACTACACTGGCCAGCAGCTGCTCTTGCTGTTTGGTCTCCAGCCGACTGATGCTTAACAAGGCCAGCTGTGGGAGGCCTGGCTGGTTGAGGCCTAGCAGATTGGGCTGGAAGAGAGCCTCTGGGCAGCAGAAGCGCTCAGAGCCCAGTGTGATAACTTGCTTGTCCGGGAGCCTAAAGTCCACTGGGGCCTGGGTGTAGACCAGCTCAGCTTCCATATTCCTGGCCACATAGCAACAGGCTTCTTTAATATGGTGGACCAGCCATGTTTTGGGTGGTGAGTGGCCACCTGCCTAGAAGCAGCTGAGCCAGGTAGTCAATGAGGTCAGCACCAGCCACATCTAGCCGGTAGGTGTCAGATGGGGCCAAGTGCCCAGTGAGGATGGGTGCTACATAGGAGGTGCCATGGCCACTTCCCAGCACCAGCCCAGTGGTACGCCCATAAGCATAGAGTGCCAGCAGGGCCTGATGCACTGTCTGCATGGCTGGCACATGGAAACACTGAAAGAGTATCTCAGCTACCTTTTCTCAGTTGGTGCGCGGTGAGATGGGTGAATCAGCCACAAGCACAGCCAGCTCCTCAGGCTGCACCCCCAGCCTGCAGTAGAACAGGTGCTGCCATAGCACTTCTAGTGCATCCCAATCGGAGACCACTCCTCGGTTCAGCACTGGGTAGGAGCTGTCTTGGTTTTCAGGGACTGCATACCGGGGCCGGCCCTGGGCTGAGTGCTGTAACAGCTGAACTTGTGAGGGTACAACCGTGAGGACATGGTCCTCTCCAGCCAGTCCACATTTGGTGAATCCCATGCCTGTATCAATCACTACTGCTGCCATGTCCTGGTAGGGGCCTGATGCATGGTAGCAAAGCACTGATGACCTACTTGGCAGGGTATCCATGGTAGACACCAGCTCATAGCAGGCCCCATGGAGTGGACCAAGGTGTGCAACCACTGATGAATGCACAATGTCCTCAGCTGTCACATTGAAATGGTTCCCACTCTGGTGCTCAGTGCCCACCATGGCAACGGGCAAGACTTTGCAACCAGTGCCAAGTGTGGTAAATGTGATCAGAGAAGGCTGTTCCTCCTGGACCCTTAAACAGCTCCCAGGTTGCCATGATGAAAGCTGATGCATACTGGGGTTCTGAGTGCTACCAGTGTCAACTTTGCCTCTATTCACATAGTTACAGGTCTCTTTGGGAGTCAGTGGCACTTGAAGTACCCCTACATCGGTAGGCAGGCCTAAGGACTCACCTTCCTGGGTGGAGGGCTGGCCAGGCTCCTCAGAAGTGAAGGGTCTTCTTGAGATGGTGGGCTCTTTGATGATGGGGGGCTTCTGGGTGAAAGGTGTCTCCTCAGTGAAAGAAAGCTCTATGGCAAGAGGGGGCTGCCCAGTTGGAGGGGTCTGCTCACTGAAAGGGGGCTGACTAGTAAGGGGAGACTGCCTGGTAGAGGGGGGATGGCCAGTTAGTAACCCCTGCTCAGTTACAGGTAGCTGTCTAGCAAGAAGGTTCTGCCCATTGTGGAAGGTCTGGTCAGTGAGGGGGGCCTGCTCAGCATCTTCAGCCTGAGGTTTATCGGAATGAGTGGTAATGTCATCTTTCTGGTTATGGCTGCCTACACCCTGCTGGAGCAGAGATATGGGCACCAACTGGATACTGGCTGGTGAAGTAGAGTTCATATACTGCAGTTTCTTTGTCTGGACCTTGGAGGCATCTGGGGAGGACTTCAACATCCAGATGGTACGACTAAATTCATTTTCTTTCACATCAGGTTTAGACAAGCTGGGATCACGAAAATGAGCCTGTATTTCCTCACCAAATTGGAGGGGTGTTCCCAGTGGAACATGTCCAGTGAGCATCCCAACCCTGGTAGGTGTCTCAGTACCAGGGGAGTTCTGTGACTTCAGGTTGAGCCTGGCCTCCTTGGGAACCAGGGCCGCCTCTCGGTAGCTACCAGATGAGCGGCTAGAAGGCACAGGGCTGGACAACATGGCTGTGGTGGACCAGAAGCTGGAATGATCACTGGCATGGGAGAGAATGGGCCTGGCCAGTGGCTGGGTGGACAGGATATTTTCAGGGGGACAGACAGATGGTTGGCGGGGCTTGAGGCCCACCAGCACTGCCTGTGAGCCCATAGTGTCATGGCATAGCAGCCCCATCCTGGTGTTGCCCATGGCCATATCGAACACCAGCACCCAGTCTTCTATACCTTCCTGGAGCTGACAAGTAGAGGCACTGGAGGAGGGCATCTGCATGGCTTCCCTGGAAGACTGAGGTGGTAACTGCTTATGACAGGTTACTTGGTTAGCAGACAGTGGCACATTAGAGCAAATGCTCTTGCAGACATTGGGGGGTTGCTTGTCTGGCTGAGAACTGCAAATCTTCTGGTTATTCCTCTGGGACTTGGGGGTACCTGGGGGCTCTGGCCCTGGTTTGGGGGTGTCTGGCCTGGAGGTATAGACCAGAGGCTTCTCTGCCAGGTTCTCAGGCTGTTCAGATGGCACCTGTCTTCCAACAACCTTGTGCTCCTGGGCATGCTCTGGGAACAATTTTGGAGTGGGTATTGAGGGAGGAGGCTCCCCATTAGAGTAAAAATTCACTTTGTGCTGGCCAGATATGACCATTTTAGAAGATTCTGAGAGGATTGGCCATTGATTGCCACACCTCTTGAGGGAGAGGTCTTGAGACAGGCCTTTGGTGACTGCAGTGTTACCAGTTGGGTGGTCAAGGGTACAGTTGTAAGGTTCAACTCCAGGAGTTGCATCCAGAGCTGGATTAATAGCCTGACTTGAAGTTGGAGGAGCTGGTGACAACAAAGAAGTTCTAACTAGGGCAGGAGCCTGAGTTGGACATGGGCTCCTGCTCTGCCCCTGATCTTGGGCTGGAGCCTGAGATGAAGCCAGAGCTGAAGCCAGAAAACTTTGGTCTTCAGCTGCACCACCCTTTCCTGAGAGGAAGTAGGGTAGCCGTCAACTTTTCCTGCTGTTCACAGGGGCCACATGGTCAATGTTGCAGGAGCCCTTACCCCAGCCTACCAGGACTTTAGCTTTGCCCTCCCCCTCAAGCTGCACCTGAATCGGAGAGCAGCAGGATCCATGCTGGTTCATGTCACTGGTGCTGTTACTATGCATGCACACTGCTAGGTTCAGGGTCCCATCGTCCATGATCAGATCTTGTTGGGCTCCCACGATGCGGCTTGGAAACAGGCTAGCTGAAGAGAGTTTAGGGGCATCCTGGGAGGCCTGCATATCGCTGCATGAGGAGCTAAGCTGAGTAAGGTCCTGGTGTACTTGGTGAGTGGGCTCAGGGATGCTGGCCTGGGAAGCTGGGCCACAGGCCTCATCAGGGATGGTCTTGGTGGATGATGACAACCCTTGCTTGAAGTTTAGGGATTCTGAGCTTATCCACGGTCCCTGGGATCCTCTGAGGCCACCCCCCAGTTCCTGGCTGCTGGCTGAGGGGTATCCCTGAGGGCCTGATGGATCATGGTCCCCCACCTTCTTGGTAGCTTCCATCGTCCTGCTTCGTGCCCTAGGTGCCTTGCCCCTACTTCATTGCTATGGCGACACCACACATCATAGCCCCCAGTGACCTGGGGGGGGGGTGCCAGTGTGACAAACCAGAGCCCCACTCCTGAGGAGTAGGGGCCTGCCTTGAGGCCCCTACTTGTGAGGCAGAGAAGCTGATGGGTCCCGTGAAGTTGGCCAGCTATATGCCGGCCTCCTCTCACCTTACCCCATCAGTCTGCTCTGCCCAGGCCAGCCCCAGCGTGAGGGCAGTGCCTCAGAAGGTTCTGGGGTAAGGTCAGGGGAGAGAGGTGGTCAAGGGAGACTCTGAGGAAGCCCCTAGCAATAGGCCCTTTGGGAGTGAGGCAAAGCCCCTTTACCATTTAGTCCTAGGAGACAGAAGAGGGTGTGGGGCCCAGCAGGCCTAGGCTCCTCTCCACTATGTTCCCCAGCTCTGGCTCCAGGGACAGCAGCTCCTTGGCAATCTCTGCTGCTCCAGATGGATCTCCTCTGCCTATGCCTCACAGAGCCCCCTCCCCAGAGCCACATGTCTGTAAAGCCCTGGACCAATATCCAGGAAGGGTAAGGATGGGGGTGGCGGAGGTGGGGGTGGAGCCTCTGCTCAGAATCCTCAAGTCAGAATGTTCTAGCTCTTGTCATACTGTGTCAGCTTCACCTTTGCTATAAAGGGGGCAAGGCACTGGGTTCAAGGCTGGGACACAGTGGCCACAGGGCAATTACAAAATGGGGCATGGAAGAGACACAGTGGGTACACTGCAGGTGCAGGGCTGAACACACAGGGCCACAGAGCTGGGTTTACAATAAGGAAAACTGGACAAAGACCCAGATGTGGGTTAGATGGGTAAGAAATATAAGCTATCAAACGGGGGGGTGGCAATTCCACCCTCTGTTTCTTAGATGGGGACACGGAAGGGAAGAGTGGGATCCTCCCTGATCCCTCCCACAGCCCTAGAGCTGCCCTGCATAACGGAAAACAGGACTAGAAGCAGTTCGGGAGCCTCCACTGTCCTGATCTTGGGTCTGGAGGTTCTGACCTGGGGCAAGGTCAGACTCCCTCACCCAGCTCTGAGCTCTGTGCCTCCTCCCTTTGTCTACTAGGGCTGTATCCCTTCAGGCCTCAGTATTTCCACCCAGAAAACAGGTTTGTGGAGAATGTAGCTATAGGCTTGTCCTCTGAAGCAATGTGTTTTCACAGAGGTTAAAAATAGTGTTTGCAGTTGGCCATGGGGTGCGAGGCTATGTGACCAGGGACCAAGGCTAGCACTAAGCTAAATCTGCACCTTTCTGACTCAGCGCTGGGCATAGCCTGACTCGGCCACATCTCAGGCCCCCTGGGCCCTCTCCCCATCTTCAGATGCAGTCTTTGGTTAAGAAACAGGACAGATAGCAGGCACCAGGGAGTTAAACTGTTTTCCTTCATGCTATGACTCAGGAAAGGTTGTAGAATCCAGGGGTCTGTGGGCTGTGCATGTGTGTGCATCCACGTGTGTACATACATACGTGCAGAATACTATTAACTGTGTTACACTCTGGTCTGAGCAAGCTTGTTGTTTTTTCATGACATTGATCTAGTAGCATCCTCTAGTGCCTCTGCAGCACTGAAGCTGGGCTGTGCCTAGGAGGAATAGGAAGGGATGGGGGGCTGCCTGAAGAATTCCCTTCCTGTCCGATGACTGAGCCATCCTGTATCTCCTACAGAGTGAGGCATGGCCCTCCTCTCCAGGGATAGGGTCCTTTGTAAGCAACAAGCCTGGGGTCTCCTGAGGGAAGAGAAAAGGACCAGCTGAAGATCCTGGCTTAAGAAGAAAGCCCAAAGCAGGCATACAGGAGAGAGAAGAGCTTTCCCACCTGGGAAGCAAAAGAGCTTAGAGCAGAAATAACTATGACTGATGTTGATCAGATTCTTCTTCTGTGCTGGTGCAATATGTAGAACATGCAACTGAGCCTCGTAGAAGTTCTATAAATTGAACACTACTGTACCTTTATTACAGATGAGGAAAATCAAGGCCCAGAAAGGGAGGAGAGGCTTGCCTTAGCTAGTGTACTGTAGAACCAGAGTCCAAAGCTAGGCCACCAGGCTCTAGACCCATGGCAACCCCAGGAAGCTGTGGTGCCAGGAGTGGATGCCATGCCAGTGCCAGGCAGGCACAGAGAGGAGCCAGCATACCTCGCTTCTAGTGCTGCAGCCCCAAGCCCCACACCCATAGATCTGCTCTTCCTCTGGATAGCTTAGCAGGTAGCTCAGATGTGGGAGGGGTATCTTTCCTGAGTAACACTAAGCCAGTGGCCTCCCAGGAACCTGGTGGTGTGGAGCATGGACCAGCTACACGTGCTGTGGAGGCTGGCTTAGTCTTTGCATTTAGAATTCTTGACTGGTCAAAGCTTATTCCCATTTCATTCAGCTAAGGGGAGGGCAGCAGGGCAGGTATGGAGGCAGCCAATCTGGACCCTTCCTGGCCAGCCCCTAGGATAGTGCCCCTGTGCCCTCCACCCACTTGTTTTTAAATAGTATCTCACCAGGAAGAAGGGCGTCCAATTCTATTTCTGAATCTGGGAAGAGAGGAGGGCCAACATGTTGCCATGGCAACTTAGAGAGTCCCTCCCCCAGGCTGAGCCCATTCCCCAGGCTGAGGGCTGTAGGTGCAGGGAGGAGCTGGAAGGAGCTCAGATGAATTAAACCCTATAAAGGCAATTCCTGGCATTGCCTTCCCCCTCACCTTCACCTCACCTCCTAGACAGGCTGGGGGAAAGGTGCCAAACCCTGGGGAGACAGTCAAGTCACCCTGGAAGCCCTCCTCCCCTGTAGATCAAGGTAAAACCCTATTACCTAGGAGGTCTTGGGACCACAGAGAGGTGACAGGAAGGTAGGTCATCAAGGCACAAAAGGTTACATTACTGGAAGCTCTATAGCCTACCAGGTCTATAGGCCTGCTTCTCCAACACAGCCCTCAGAAGGAGGCTAGGTCTGTCAAATCTCTGGACTTGTGCTCTTTAGATCCATGTTCCTTCCACTCTTAGTGGCCTAGGAAGTCTCTGGCCATCTCCAAAAACCTAGGATCAGAAGAAGCCTTCAAGGGCTTCCAGGGTAGCCATCCACTTTATAAAGGATACAAAAATGAGACCTGTTTCCCCATAGATTCATGCCTACCCAATGTCCAGAAGCACATGCACCAGCCCTTCTGTTCCTGAGGCTACAGGTGGGTAGCACTTGAGTCTGTGGAGGGAGGACCTTCCAGCTAGCAGAGCCCAGACAAAGGCAGGATTCTTAAAAGACCCAAAAGGATCTTGTGATCCCACTCTCAGTGCTGATGGGAAACAGAGGCCAGAAGGAGGAAGGGATGCATTCTCAGTCTCCACCTCCCTCTCTTGACCCCCTGGAACTACCCAAGGGACCTAGGAGCCCTCAACCTCTTGCTTCCCTGAAGTTTTTCCCAACCAGGAAAAACTGCCTTTCCATGAAGGCAGAACCACACTATAAAAGATCTGGCCCCACTGCCTGACCTCAAAGAAAGACAGCCCAGGAACAGAACACTAAGAGAGCCTACAGCTGGGTGAGGGGAGATAATCCACTCCTAATCTGGGATATGGAAGGCAAAACTCACTAGTGCTGAGGGGATAGGGCTTCTAAGCTCTAAGACACAAGGAAATTTAAATAACAGATGTTTAAACAACCTTCCCTGCAAGCTGGCAGTGCAGTGACCCCTCTGCTGTGATGTGTTGCAGCTTAAAAATAGCCCACAATGAACCGCTCTGAGTCCCAATTGACTCAAGCTTACATAACTGCGTGAAAGATGGCCAGCCGCACCAGCCCAGAGGGAGGGCAATAGCACAGCCCTGACTGCTGCCACAGCTGGCTTAGGGGGTGGGTAAATTTCTCATACCCCTTAGGAGGAACACCCATCCAGAAGCCAGTATAAATGGTGGGGGATGGTGAAGAAATGCTTCCAAAAACACACATGGCTTTATGACTGCCTGAAAGAGACCTCCAACCATGTCTCCAGAGGGGATGCAAAAAGAGCTGCTCTCCTTCAGAGACCCTATACAACCCAGGCCCAGTGGAGAGCAGAAATGGGTGTAGGAACAGATTACTGGCCAGGTGGTGCACCTGTAGTCCCAGCACTTGGGAGGCTGAGGCAGGAGGATCACCACGAGTTCAAGGCCAGCCTGGGCTACATAGTGAGTTCAAGGCCAGCCTAACCTACATAGGAAGACTGTCTCAAAAACAAAAAACAAAAACAAAAAAAACCAAACCACTACCAACAAAAACAAACACATAACTTGATCAGAGAGACCAGGGCACAAGCCCATGTTGGTAAGGTGAGTGGAGCTACCCAAGAAATTCATTTCTTCTTTGAAGGAAGGGGGGCTCCTTGGTCTGAAGGGACTGGTGCTTGGTGAAAGCTATCACTGCCATGGATCCCAGGAGTAGAGGCAACTCCTTTGGATCCTCCAATTCTCCATGTCCAGACTGCAATATGCCAGGAGGGACTCATGTCATAAGGAAGGGAGCAGTGGTTCAAAGCAGATTGAATTCTGTCATCTTGGCTACCAGCTGTTTCACAGCCCTGCTATGCCTGATGTGTCCCAGATCCTAAATGCCCAGTCCACAACTGGCCACAAGTGTGCAAGTAGCTAAACCAACCTAGAAGGGAGCAGATAAGATAGGGGAGGGTGCCCTGGCATTGGGAGCTCAAGTACTCACTGTTCCCTGTCTCTGCCCATGCTGAGCCCCACCAAGGAGACAGCTCCCTCCCTCAGTTCTTTCCACGTGTGTTTAAAACAGGAGCCACTATGGGCCTCACCCCTGAGCTCCTGCGGAGCAACAGTGCAATGGGCTTGGACTGTGCTATATCTGGAGTCCTCAGGTATGGCCCCAGAGAGCCTTTGAGCCCCTGAGAAATTTCCTGAGAGGCTGGGGCTGAGGCATAATGGGAATCTCAGGCTAGACTAATGTCCCATCAAAGCAGGTCAGTCTGCCCCACGCATCCACTCCAGGTGCCAGACAAGAGTAACACCAATGGGTAGTCAAGAGGCTGTGAGTCATCTGCTGCTTTCTTGGTCTCAGCTCCCACCCTGGTCTCCCTCAGCCTGTGCTGGGACCTGCTTGCCCCCAGAACACTGGGCTGTGATGGGGGGAGATGAGGCAGAAGGGCAGGTACTTGTCCTCTACCATTCTTCATGGGAAGGCTGGGCTCCCAGAACCCTGGGAGAAACCTCGTCTCACCCCATCCTAACCTGGTAGATCTACCATGGCCAAGAGCAACCTTCCCTTTGCACTGGCCACCCTCCACACTGGAGCTGAGACTCGGGCTTCTCCTAAGGTTAGAGGGAGCTCAGCCTTCCCTAGCCCATCTAGGGACCTAGAACTGGCCTTCCCTATTTGTCCTCCCTAATAGCTCAGCCACCAATTTGAAATCATAGTTCGTGATGCTCTAGATGGGCTTGGAGCTATCAGGTGGCTCTGAAAATGGAGCTCAGGGTTTGGGGGCTGCAGAGGTTGGGGTTGGGACAACTGTGCCATAATCCAGGAGCCCAAACACCTGTTTAACTGGAGCCCCTGCACAAAGAACTCTGGCCCTGGAGGCCCTTGGCCTGGAAACATGCTCAAAGCCTCACATTCTAGCTGTACAGGAAGGCTGACATCCCCTAAGCTCTTTCCCTCTCCCATTTTGCTTCTCTGGGGCCCCTTTTCCATACTAAGCTTTTTTCCTATCCAGAGACCTCCTTCCTCTCTGAAACGTCTTGTAAACAGATGAGCCAGTGGGGAAGGAGCCCTTGGGCCTTCTCACTCCCCACCCATAGCTCGAGCTTTGATGACCCTTAGATCCTCAGGATGGGTTAAAGGATAAAGATTGCAAGTTGGAGGGTGGGAGACAGTCCTTTCCCTTGGTACAGGAAATACAGATTTGCAACACTCCAGGATACTCCACTTACTTCTCTCCCAGGCTCAGAGCTAAAACAGTGTCTACCATATTTGCACACAGACAAGGGTCAGTGGCCAACCATATGAGGCCACATCTTCATCTATGCCTACTGTTAGAGGTGTAGCCATAAACAGGTCACCTGTTTCTACCTACCTTTAGCTCACAGGCCCCTCATCTTTGGGCCCCTGAAATTCAGCAGAAGAGTCACCTATTAAGCTCCTGGAGTCCCTAAGACTAAGCCCCTCTCTGGCCTGAGGTGACAGCTTGAGCAGCAGTATGGGTGGAGAATAGCTGGGCATCCCTGGCCCCAATAAGACCCCCACTCTGCTCAGCAGGGAGCTCTTGCTCCAAAGCCAACGTTCTGTGCATGACAGGATACAGTGCTGAGGGCTTAGAGAAGAGAGAGCTTGCCCTGCTCAGGGTAAACTAGGAGTCTCTGAACTATAAGGATGGAGGCCATAGGGGTCCTAAGCAAGGAAAAGTTAACACTGTGATCTATATCCTGGGCCCTGGCACCCCAGCTCCCACAACAACAGGACCCATCTGTTTCCCTCAGCAGGCAGGGTGTGGGGGAGTGGCAGGGGACACTTCTCCAGAGGCACATGCCCCTGTAGTGGCTACTGTGCAGTTGGATTGGCAAGTATAAACATCTTGGGCAGTTGGTGCTTCTAAGTTGGTTCCTCCAAAGTGGAGCCAAGGCTCGCTGTGCCGGCTCCTCTCTCTTGAGCTTGCAAGTGCAGTGCTGGCAGCATTGGGGGGTGGGCAAGTGTTCATGCCCTGATTCTGTGTATATGTGGTAGGGGATGCTGCTGATGGAGAAGGGAGCCCTGGAGAAGTGCTGGGGGTTAGGCAGAGGGGTGAGGACAGGTAGTTTGAGCCTCAGGAGAAATCATCCTGTCTGCTGTTGATCTAATAGTCTTCAGAGCCTTGTAATCTGACTTGGGCCTTGCCCACTTTCTCTATGCTCTGTAGCCCTCTGGTTAATCCAGACCCTTTCTAGCAGCAGGACCTTTGCACATGCTGCTCACCTACCCAAAACTTTCCCTAAACTCTGCTTCTGACAGATTTCCCCTGACATGATAGGGCCTCAGAAAAAGTGTCACCTCCTGCCTGGGCATGGTGGAGTACATCTGTAGTCTCAGCGCTTGGGAGGCTGAGGCAGGAGGATGGCCATGAGTTTGAGGCCAGCCTGGACTACATAGTGAGCTCAAGGCCAGCAAAGAAAGACCCTGTCTCAAAAAAAAAAAAAAAAAAGTGTTGCCTCCTGGGAGGCTTCCCTCACCTCTCTAGTCACCTTTGGATCTAAAGCAGTCCTCCATTCCCTCCTATCTTTCTCTCACAACATTTTCCACAGTTTATACATGAATATTCATTTTTATTGGCTCAAAGGTGAGTGTCTCTGTGTCACTGCTGAGTCCTCTGTGCCCAGCAGGCATGGTAAAGAAGGTGCTCCATAAATATGTGCTGTAGAAGGCTTGCTCTCACAGGCTCACTCTGTGCAGTGAGAGATCTATGTGCCCTCCTGCCCTCCCTGAAAATTAAAGGGCAGACACAGGGTAGAAACCCCATATCCTCCAGCTTGGCATGGCCCAGATGCCACTGGGGGCTAGCTCAAGGACACTAAGCAAGTTCAGCCCCCATGGGTCTTCCCAGGACCTAGGTCACGTGGGCAGAGGTGGCTCTGAGAGGGGTCGGGGCCGAGACATGCTCCTGTGCACAGGTGAGGACCGTGGATGTTCTGAAAGCACATTCACCTCATTCAAGGTGCCAGGGCCCAGGTTCACATAGGCTGTGGAAAGCTGCACATAGTGTTCCCCAAGCAGTGAGGCCACAACCTGCTCCATTTCTATCACCAGTGCTCTGAAGGTGGGTCGTGCTGCTGGGTCTGCCTCCCAGCATCTCTCCATCACTTGGTACCTGCAGGAGTAGGGGCAGGTCAAAGGCACAGTGCACCCTGATTCAGGGTTCTTGGCTGTCTACCTGCTGTTAATTCCCTATCAGGCCAAACAGAAAACACATGGCAGGGCCTAGTGCCTAGCATTGCCCAATCAGGGACCGCTCTTCTCACTGATATGATTGCTGATGCCTTTCCACCCTAACAGAGGTCCACCCTGCCTCAGAGGTTAAAAACGGTACACACCTGTAATCTCAGTGCTCTGGGAAGCTGAGGCAGGAGAATCATAAATTTGAACCTAGCCTGGGCAATTTAGTAACTTATTAAGATCCTATCTTAAGATAAAAAATAGAAAGGGCTGGGGATGTAGCTCAGTGCAAAGGCCCTGGGTGCAATCCCCAGTATTGCAAAAAGAAAAAGAAAGGAAAAGAAGTTAATTCGGCTCTGGTACTCTGTGACATAGGTTATGTGATCTTGGGCAAGTTATTTAACCTTTCTGTGCCTCTGACTCCTCCTCTGATCACAGAGCAGTAGAAACACAGGGTGAGAAGATGCCTATGAAGTGGTTAGCACAGGGCCCAGCTCACAAGCTATTATGATTATCTCACATATATTCCAGGAAGGAAGTAAAATGGGGATTAAAAGGCTTAAAGGAGCAGCATTTGAGGCAGCACCAGGGCACCATGATCCTGAAGCAGAAGTTCTCCAGGTTTGCCTGCTCTGTTATCTTGGGAATGGCATCCTCACTTTAAGTCACTGTCTAAATGCCCTGCACAGAGCATCTCATACATGTCTCACACTCTCTGAGAATGGTACTGTTATCATCTGCACTTCACAGATGAGCAAATTGAGTACCAGTGAGGAAAAGGAACTTGCCCTGGCACAGTGGTCACTGTAGTGTGCTACCTGGATCCCCTTCCTTTTCCTATTGACTGACAACTCTCCTGGTGACAACTCTTGGCTGAACCCCTCTTCCCACTACCCTAGGCAAAGGAGAGCAGCCTCCTGCAGGCTCACACTCCCTCACCAGGGACAGCCTATGACCAGTGACTGATTAATGCCTGGTACAGAGATTTGGCCCCTTCATCTCAATTTCAAAAAACTCTGAAGAGCCAGTCCCATGGGATAGGCTGAATCTACATCACTGCCACCCTCTTGATCTCTGCTTAACCTTTTTTCCCCTGCCCAAAATTCTTTTTTTTTTCTCCAAAATTCTTAATGAAGCCTACACAGAAATCTCCATGAGTCTGTCCAGGTACCCCATCCCAGATGCAGGGGCCAGTAAAGTCAATTTTCCTTCAAGTCAGATTCCTTATTGAAGTAGATCATAAAGGTCAAACTCAAGGCAGGTAGGGCTCTGAAGAAGTGTTACACACTTTTTGGAGTATGGCTTGGAACAGGAGTTATCAACCACTTTTACCTGTAACCTGGTTTTTCCTGTTCTAACCCCACAGACTTGAATATAGCTGAGGCATATGTGCTGCTCAGGGAGCCAGACCCACCTCACAGGCACTGATGATAGTTTAGCTGCTCCCATCCCTCTGGGAATGGAATCTGAAACTCAGTTCAGTGAGAAAACCATGATCTGGTGATGCAGAGGGGCCATTGTGGGAGCTAATGAAATCTTTCCTTAAGGGCAAGTAAGTGGAGAGATGTAAAACAGCTTCCTTAGCAGGAAAAGGGGGAAGTCAGGGAAGTGAGCTACTGGCCTCAACCCAGATTATGAGTTGGAATCCCGTTGCCATGGCAACTGTGTGGTCCTCTCAGCATCCTGCCCTGAATTAAGGGGGGCAGGGAGAAGTCCACAGATGAGAAAACTGAGACCCAGAGAGGGTCTCTTTCCTAGTCAACCAAAGGGTCAGGCACAAAACAAGGTGGGAACTCTACCTCCTGTTCCCTCTTTGTTTCAGGGCCCCACCTGCCTCCCCACTACCACTTCCACATACTCACAGAGAATTGGGACAATATTCAGGCTGAGGAAGGCGCCGACCCTGGGCCAGGAAGTAGATGAGGTCGAAAGGGTCAATATGGGGGTATGGTGGGGCACCCCGTGTTAGCAGTTCCCACAGCAGCACACCAAATGACCACTGTAAAAAGGGATAAGTGAGAGGACTGAACTCGCACCTCAAATAGTGGGGTAGGTGGGTCACCCAGGCTCTCTACCTCCCAAAGACCTTCACTTGGGAATGCAGGACCCTACCCTCCACTCACAGCTCATTCCTGAATCTTGTACAACATGTGTCTTCCCTCTCAGCCTACTCAGAGTTGGGGTTGGCCCAGCTCTGAATGGCCTGTGAGGAGCCAATGAATTCTTATCTCATCTTGCTCTGGCAGGTGTCAGACTCCATTTCACATCTGCCCAAGAGGTGGACAAATGAGCTATGGAGGTTGCCTAACTAGGGCTTCCCTGGGCTTAGACCGTGAGGAGCTGAATGGGGAAAGCCAAGTCTCTAGGGCATTGAAGCCATATGGACCTAGGGGAGGTGGGGCCTCACCACGTCAGACTTGGTGGTAAATCTGTAGGTCTGCAGGCTCTCCAGTGCCATCCACTTGACAGGTAGGCAAGCATGGCGTTGCTGACGGACACTGTAGTAATCCTTGTCCAGGATGTCACGGGCCAGACCAAAGTCAGCCACTTTGACTATGAATGATTCGTCTAGCCTGGGAGGGGGAGATCACATTAGAACTGACACCCACCAGGCTCTAAACCCATCTCTTCCAGGCCTTTACAGAATTTCAGAGCCAAGTTTATCCTGAGTGGACCAAAAAACTGAGGCCCAGAGAGAGAGGGGAACAGGGCCCTTCCCTGAGGTGGCCTTGGGCAGCTACATGCCCTGATGCCCTGGCCCTTGGCTTTATCCAAGTTACTCACATGCAGTTCCTAGCAGCCAGGTCCCTGTGTACAAACTTCTGTTCTGCCAGGTACTCCATACCACGAGCTACCTGCAGGCCGAAGCTGATGAGGTCCTTCACAGTGGGGTTCTGGGAGCACAGGGGGTATATGAGCAAGGGCAAAACATCCCTATCTCTGCTTACCCCACCCCTGCTCCCAAGGGCTGACTAGGCACTGACCCGTTGAGGTGAGCGGATGAAATGGAGCAGGTCTCCATGGCGCATATAAGGCAGCAGCACACGCGGCAGTCCCTCAGGTGGCAGCATGATCCCAATGAGAGCCAGAACATTTGGGTGGTGCAAGCCACGCATTAGCAGTCCCTCTCGAAGGAAGGCCTCCACCTCTTGCACCTCTGTAATGCCTGGGAAATGGCTTACATCAGGCTCAGGGCAATAAGGCCCTTCCCAAAGGTCAGATGGGGAAAATGGAGAAGCCTTCAACTCTGCTCAGGATCACTCAGTGAGTTGGCAACATTGTAGAAACAAGGAGCTTCCTAGCCTAGGGCTCCCCCACAGCCTCTACCCTACTTACGACTCAGTGACTTGATAGCGCAGTGGATTTGATTCTGGTCCTTGTCTGTATATTCCCCGTGGTAGACAACTCCAAAGTGGCCTGTCAAGAGGAGATGTTGAGAGGGAGCTTGGTGCCCCAGGCTCACAGCATGCCCTGTCATTGGCCATCCAGACCTCAGACCACCAAACAGGTCTATCTGGTATTAAAAACAAATAGCAGGGCCGGGGATTTAGCTCAGTGGTTCAGCTGCCTGCCTTGCAAGCGCAAGGACCCAAGTTCGATCCCCAGTACCAAAAAAAGGAAAAAAAAATAGCAAGGGCCGGGGATTTAGCTCAGTGGCAACAGTCCTGAGTTCAATCCCCGGTACTGCAAAAAACAAAACAAATAGCAGCCAGGTGCAGTGACACATGCTTGTAATCCCAGAACTTTTGGAGACTAAAACAGAAGGATCACAAGTTCAAGCCCAGCCTGGACAACTTAGGGAGACACTGTCTCAAAATAAAAAATAAAAAAGGGTTCGGGATATAAAACAGTGTGGAGTCCCTGAGTTCAATCTCTAGGACTAACGGGGGGGAAAAAGGCAACAGCTTCAGTATGGTAGAGACTGCAGCCCTCCCGCATCCACTTAATTTACACCAGAACCTACTGAAGTTAGAATTTTCCTAATCCCCATTTCATAGGTGAGCAAAGGAAACTCAGAGAGGTGGTATAGTCAGGGTCATACAGGTTGGTGAGAAAGCTAGAGTAGAGTTTTGCTCAACTGTCCCTTAAGCCAATTTTATCTTAGAACTCTCTCTCTGCCCTGGCTCTACCAGTCCCCATACCTTTGCCAATGACTTGGTCACTGTGAGTGATCACTCGCTCGTGAGGAATCAGTATGTCCTTAACCTCGGCTACGAGTGCAGAGTTCAGGTCCCTGAGCCGGATGGATTCTGTCCTCAGCAGAGGGACACAGGACCCTTCCTTGCTGCCTGAGAAGGATTCTCCATGGACACCAGTGGGAGAATGTGGAACATCAAGGGCAGAGAGTGCTGTGGGGCAGAGGGCATGAGAGCGCCGTAGAGAGGGTGTGGCCCTGAGCTTCTAGCACCTTTATCATCTCACCAACATCATTTCTGTAGTCAGAACCTGAGTAGAGCACAGGCAGGAGCATAGCTCCAGCAGTCTGGTCCAGGGATGCTAGCTCATCCAGGCTGGGAGAAAGGACTGTGGAAAGGCAGCTCCAAGTTTCTGGGAGCAAACCCTCACCAGGGAGGTATGAGAGACCCTCAAGGCCTGGGCAGAGGGAGGATGAGGGGCTTTGAGATGCCAGTCTTTGGAAGTAGAAACTGAGTCAGGGTGGGAGTAGGGAGCTCACCCAGTTGCTTCCTCCGCCACTGGTAGTTGAAGACTAGTGCAGCAGCCAGTAAAACCACAAGCAGGAGCAAGCCCAGCAGAACAACAAGGAGTATGTTCTGTGGGATGCCCCCTGGGCCTGGCCGCACCACTCTGCCCAGGATGTGACAGTCACCATCTACACAGACCTGGAAGCAAATGGCAGCTCAGGCCTAGCCTACAGGCCTTCAGCCATGTTTCCCATGAAGGGCCAGCTGGGCTGCCTACCTGCAATGGGACACCATCCTTGCTGAGTTGCACCGAAGGAGGCACAGGACAGACCACCACATCTCCTCGGAGCTCATGCTGGCAGCTCTCCCCATCCACAGTCACATTCACACCCACACAGTCAGCCACAGCATCCAGCCCAATGTACTGCAGAGACAGTCATGAGGACCTGCCAGTGGCCTGGCTCCCACTCCATAATCCCTTCCTATCCCTGTCCCATCTCCCACACCTACCTGGAATTTAACAGCATGTTCTTCAGGCTTCAGTGGGGCTAGGTCTGCACTGGGTGGACGAGGTGGGGGTAGGAAGCGAAAGCTGGGCAGTGTGAAGCCAGCAGCTCCATCTCCCTGGACACTCAGATTCCCTATCACCCACCCTCGGGGGTCTCGGATCACATATTCAGGCAGACGGCATCGATGCTGCTCCGGAAGTGGCCCATCACACTGCTGAGACCCACATGAGAATGGTTAGGCAGGTGCCTCACTTGTGGCTGCTCCAGATTCCTCAGCATAGTATGAGTGAGGGTGGAGCTCAGAGATCTGGTCCAGCCTTCCTCCCTCCTGGCTGGGACCCCACTCACCCTGTTCTCTACTTCCCTTTGCCCATCATGGAATGACAGAAGTAGGTGCCATGCTGAAGTCAGATGCTGGCCATGGATGGTGACGTGGGAGCCACTATAGAGGAGAGCAGAATAGTTTGTTTTGGGTGCTCTCTAGAGCTGGCTCCTTCATTCCTCAGAGGCTGATATGGGCAAGAGGTGACACTTACATGTAGCCACAGTTAGGAGTGATACCCAGCACAATGGGGTCTTCCTGGTAGTGAAAGGTCCAGGAACCGGGTACCTCAGCACCCCCTACCTGCAGCCCAAGGGGGACACTGGCCGTAGAAGCACCAGGGGGTGTGGCACATACTATCTGCCCCTCGCTGACCCTGCAGGAATGAAAGATTGGGTTCAGAGTCACCCTCTCCCCAGCACTTATATAGTTGGCCAATCTGTGTCTTTCATTTGGGGAATTGAGGCCATTTATATTTTGACTCATCTTTAACTTTCACTTGGCTTTTTTTTTGGTACTGAGGATCGAACTCGGGTCCTTGCGCTTGCGCAGCAGGCGGCAAAACCACTGCGCTAAATCCCCAGCCCTCCCCAGCACTTATGATGGTCAGTCTTACCTCCTCCATGGCCTGCTAATCCCTTCCAGTTCCTCTGTTGGCTGTTTCCCCCACCCACCCACACTCCATGGGTCCTAGTAAGACCTTCATGAGAGAAGGGAGGGAATAGGTTCCTCATAGCCTTGGCTTGAGCCAATAGATATGATCTGCTCTCTTGACTCTGGACTAGAGGGGGAGAAGATCCTTCCTGAAACTGCTCCCTCACATTGATCACATAACTGTGCCCTCTTCTCTCCACCCTTACAGAATCCAGGTACCTGCTTGGCAGGGCTCCCCTAAATGGGGCCATGTGGTTTCCCATCTCCTTGCCTGGTGATACTCACTGTTTCAACTGGCATTGAGTTCCATTGATCAGCACAGCCCGGCTGGTGCCGACAGACAGGCCCTGGCCTTCAAGGGTGACACGAGTGCCCCCTGCCCGTGGGCCAAAGAGGGGTCGTACTGCTGTCAGCACTGGCTCCTAAGTGGGCATTGAGGTATCTTATCTTAGCTGGAACAAGTCTTCTATCCCAAGCTTTTCCCTTTTTGTACCATCCACTGGCCAAGGCCACACACAAGACAAGAAGGCCTCACCATGAAAGAGAAACCTCCTAGCATGGAGGTGCCATCTACACGGAAGTGCCTGCCCGGTAGCATGTTAGTCACAGTGAGGCTGACGTTGGTAGTCCCCGCTGTCTGGCCATGCAAGGGCTCCAGCTCACACTCAAGCTCCTCTACGAAGTCTTTCTGGGGTGCTGGGCTGCGGTACCAAGGGAACTGCCTTGAGATTAGCCACAAATCACAAAGCCTGGCCACATGCTGGCCACTAGTCACAGGTGTCCTCTGAGCCTGAGGATGGCATCTCTCCCCCCATGCCCTTCCTCTAGGACAGGTAGGATTGGGCCAGGCAAGGACTAACATTTAATCTAAACCATGACTAAACAGATAGGTAGAGCACATGCAGGCTCAAAAAGGGAGAGATGTTTCTCCAGGCATGGGGCAGCCAGAGCCACTGCAGCTTGCTCCATACCCCCTAACCCTGATAAGCAGAAGACAGGGGTTGCACATGGAAAGGGCTGCTTGGCTGCCCCCATCAATGACAGAGGGAGGGCAGAGACCAGTTTGTACCTGAGGTTTGAGGCATCCTGAGGCAGCAGCTGGCAGGGACTTTGGCCCACTGTGATCTGATAGGTTCCCTCAGGTACCAGAGAATCAGGGTGCCGGTAGAAGTTGGAGCCACACAGGGTCAGCCTCGTGCTGCCCCTTAGTGGCCCACTGTGGGGGTAGAACTAAAGCCGGGGAAACAGAGAGGCTGAGTTCTTATGTGTAGCTGGGCTCTCTTCAGCCCTCTCTGGTTCCTTCAGAGTTCCCTGCCATACCCTTTGTCTGCCCCACACTCCATCATTCTGGGTTACTTGCTTGTCCTCATTCAAGCATTTTCCTGCCTTCCAAGTCTTGGCATGTGCCATCCCCTCTGCCAAAAATATCCTTCTTATAGATGGAGAGAACATTCTAGGCTTGAGAAACATCATGGTCAAGACTTGCTGACTCCCACCACAGGCCCTGCTTATCCCACCCTTACCTGTGCCCTGCCAGGAAAGCTGTACCTGAGTAAGCTTAGGTGGACAGTGATCTTGTTGCCACGAGCCAGGACACTCTTCCTGTCGGCCACATATGTCCCCACACCAGCCACAGCCCATGAAGCGCTGTGTTTGAAGGCAACCCCTACAGGTGAGGAAGTGGCGGCAGCCAGGGCCTCGGATAGGTACCTGGAAGACCTTAGGGTGACAAATAGGTGAATCAGGGATGACTGAAGGAGAAAAACAGATCCCATAGACCTTCCTGCTCCCCTTGTAGACTAGGGTGGTGGAACCTGTATGTAAATATCTCCCTAGATGGTCCCACAACTCTGACCCCAGACTGTGACCCTGCCTACCTCACCTGGTCCCCAGAGGCGAAGAACAAGTGGCCCCCGAGGCGACTGACATCTCGCTGAATGGGCTGCCTACTGCTGCCCAATGAGAAGTTGGACACATACAGCAGGTAGTTGAGTGACCTGGCTAGCTCCACCTGAGACAGGTCAGCTGTAAGCAAAACAGACATGGGGACAGGAAGACAGGAATAGGGGGTTGTGAAGGTAAGAGACCTACCTGCAGGATACGTCCATCAGTTGTGCCCATGTGGGCCACTGTGACATTGCCAAGGCGTGTTACATACAGTGCAGTGATCTGCATTGGTCCTAAAAGCCCATTGAATAAGTCCACACGTTGGAAGCTGCTGCTGACCCGCAGAGGGAAGTAGTGGCAGCTGATGTTGGGGCTAGGGGCCTCCGGGACTGGCTAAGGAGGGTCAGGGAAGAAAAGGAGGGTTTAGCTTCTATCAGTGATCACAACAGCCCCAAACTTCCATCCCTCACCCAGCCTGACTAGAGAAGGCTCTTGGCCTGCCAGTCACCTGCTCCTGCTCCCGATGGGGCTTTCAATGATAGCAAAGGCTGGGAAAGAAAAAGGCCCAGGCCAGAAGGCCAGCTCCCCTACTCCCTGCCCTATCCCGCCATATACAGTGTGGTAAAAAGTTACTGAGTCTTACAGATGCAACCTCACAACCAACCTGCAGAGTGGAAACAGGCTCAGAGAGGTCTGACCTCAGGAGAGGAGCCAAGTTGGAAATCTGTGCTCTTAACCAGAGTCCTCTCCTGCCCCCTTCTGGTTCTGCTCTGTCTCTGCAAGTGCTCCTCAGCAAAATCTGTTCCCTCCAGGCTTCAGTTTCCATACTTGTGTAAGAGGGTGACCTTTGAGGTTAATTAGCCAGCACTCTGGTAAACTGAGCCTTCTCCCTGAGACTCCAAAGATCCTCCTGCACCTCTAGCTGCTACTTACACCTCCCTCAGGTACATAAGGGATAAAGCAAGGCTCCATGAACTGGGTGCTCGGCTAGGCCCTAAAGGCCGGGAGATGCTAACCTTTTTCCTGCTCTTAACATGGGGGTATATGGGGACTGTACTCTTGGGGCATGACTGTGGAAGATTCTGGGAAAGGAGGAACACAGTGTGTGAATTTGAGGTGTTGGGGCTGGGTTTGAGATGCAGACAAGACTCAGTAGCCAACTCTAGGTGCTAGGATTCCCTTTCATGCACTGAGGGCACTCATCAAGACAAGGGCTTCAGGAGCCCTATCAGATCACATAGATCTAACCCACTACTGAGACTTCAATGCAGAACAGGAGCTGTGGAGCAACAGCAGGTACAGACCTGGGTGTAGAATTGCCCCATATCCTGGGTCTGTAGCTTGTGTGGGTGGGGACTAGGACTTTGTCTAGCTAAAAGCCTGCCAGGTGTTTTCAGCATGACTCAGGGACAGGTGGGGCTCTGGAGTTGAAAAGAGACCTTGACACAGTCAGGGCCACAGCCCTGTTTGCTTGTTTCTAGGCTCCAGAGTCTTAGTTCTGGGTCTTAAGCTTTACTAGGGGTCCCTGGCCCCTAAAAACACTTGTCTTAAGTGTACAGTGCCCCACGGAGGACCTGGGCCCCACCTGAACCCATGTAGGACAGGCACTACCTGAAGCCAATCGCTGTGAGCACACAGTAAGTGCTGCCCCAGCAGCTGCACGGCCAGACTCCTTGGACAAACATTGGTTCACACACGTCCTGGCAGCATGGCTGGCCTGTAGGGAGGGCCTAAGGTTAATCTTCCTGGTGCCTGGCAATGCCCACCTATGCTGGGTATCTTCTGAACTACTGACTAGCCAATTTGGGAAGTTTCTGACTCTCCAGAGGGAAGATGATGGGGCCAGGCAGGGCTGTCTGGTGCTGGACAAGGAATCCCCACCCCCTGTGCCTGTCAATCTAGATGTATTCAGCTGAGAAAAGGAAGATGAAGATCCCCACTCCACACTGGGTGTAAATGCTCCCACCGCTGGGGCCTCCATTGGAGCTGGAAAGGAGTGAGTTGAGAACGTCACAAGAGAGGTAGGGGCCTGGGGTAGCCTGAGACTCAGAACAGTCACTGTGGGGTCAACTTGGTGAAAGACCACTCATCCAGGGCTTCATTCAACCCATTTCTTTGGCCCAATCTCTTATAATCTCTGGTGGGACTATTTGAATGGCTTCCAAGACTGAATTTCAGTTTTGCTTTCAGGGTAGCTCTATGTATGTATGTATGTATGTATGTATGTATGTATGTATGTATTTGTTTATTTTTGGTGATGCTTGGGATTGAACTCAGGAGGACCTTGCACATGCCACTCTGCTACTGAACTACATCTCCAGGCATCAAGGTAGCATTTTAAAGAATATCCTCTTTGCAATAACAAACTCCCTGAGAGAAAAAAAAAGAAATACCTAGGAATCAATCTGATGAAGGATATAGAAAAGCTTTGCATTGAAAACTACAGTACTCAAAAGGAGATCGAAGAAGATACCAGAAAATGGAAAGATATCCTTTGTTCTTGGGTAGGAAGAACCAATATAGTGAAAATGGCCATACTTCCAAAATTGTTATACAGATTTAATGCAATCCAGATCAAAATACCAATAACATATCTCAGAATTAGAGAAAACAATCCTAAAATTAATTTGGAACCAGAAGAGAACTAGAATAGCAAAAGCAATTCTGGGCAACAAAGGCAAAGCATGGAGTATCACAATCCCTGACTTGAAATTATATTACAAAGCTACTGTGATAAAAACAGCATGGTTCTGGCAAAAGAAAAACAGACCTGAGGATCAATGGAGCAGATTAGAAGATGCAGAAACAACTCCAAAATACTCAGCTACCTTATCTTTGACAAAGGGGCCAAACACCTTTACTGGAAGAAAGACAGCCTCTTTAATAAATGGTGCTGGGAAAACTGGCTTTCCACATGCCAAAGATTAAAACTAGACCCATGTCTCTCACCATGCACCAAACTAAAATAAAAAAGGATAGGCTGGGGATTTAGCTCAGTGGTTCCGCTGCCTGCCTCGCAAGCGCAAGGACCAGAGTTCTATCCCCAGTATTAAAAAAAAAAAAAATGGATCAAAGATCTTAATATTAAAACACAAACACTAAATCTGCTAGAAGAGAGAAGAGGTAGAACTCTTTTTTTCTTTTCTTTTTTTTTGGTACAAGGGATTGAATTCAGGATCTTGTGCTTGTGAGGCAGGCGTGGGCACAACTGAGTTAAACCCCCAGCCCCAAGAATAGGTAGAATTCTTAAAGACATTGGTATAGGCAAAGACTTTATGAACAAAACCCCAACTGCACAGAAAAGAATCAACAACTGGAATCTCATCTTACTAAAAGGCTTTTGTACAACAAAAGAAACCAACAGGGGATTTAGCTCAGTGGTTCCGGTGCCTGCTTTGCAAGGGTAAGGTCCCAAGTTTGCTCCCAGGTACCAAAAAAACCCCAAAAAACAAAACAAAACAAAGAAACCAACAGAGTGAAGAGACAACCCACAGTGTGGGAAAAAAATTCTTGCCAGTTGTTCTTCAGACACAGGACTACTATCTAGAATATATAAAGAACTAAAAAAACAAAAACAGACTTCCCAAATTTAAAGACCCAATCCAAAAATGGGCATCTGAAACAGACACTTCTCAGATGAAGAAGTAGAAATGGCAAATAAATATATGAAAAAATGTTCCAACATCACTGGTCATTTGTGAGATGCAAATGAAAACAATGCTGAGATTCCATCTCACTGCAGAAAGAACGGCTGTTTCAAGAAATCAACCAAGAGCAAATGCTGGTGGGGCTGTGAGGAAAGAGGAACCACTGTGGTGCAACCACTATAGAAATCAGTGTGGAGATTCCTCAAAGAACTAAAACTAGAGGTTCCATTCAATTCAGCTATTTCCCTTCTTGATATCTTCCCAAAAGAATTAAAAGCATCATACCACAGCAATATATGCACACCCATATTTACAGCACCACAGTTTGTAATAGCTAAATCTTAGAAACAGCCCAAATGCCCATCAACTGATGAATGGATAAAGAAGATGAGGGTTTTTTTTTATATAATGGAGTACTACTCTCCCATAAAGAATGTTAAGCTTAGGGTTGGGGATGTAGCTCAGTGGTGCTGCGTGGCAAGCGAAAGGTCCTGAGTTTGATTCTGGGTACTGCAAAATAAATAAATAAATAAAAATAAAGAATTAAAAATATCATACCACAGGGCTGGGGATTTAGTTCAGTGATTTCGCCGCCTGCTGCGCAAGTGCAAGGACCCGAGTTCAATCCCCGGTACCAAAAAAAAAAAAAAAAAAAATCATACCACAGTGATATATGCACACCCACATTTATAACACCACAGTTTGTAATAGCTAAAGCTTGAAAACAACCAAATGCACATGAACTGATGAATGGATAAAGAAGATGTGCTTTTTTTTATACAATGGAGTACTACTCTGTCATAAAGAAGGATAAGCTTGAGACATTTCTAGGTAAATGGATGCACCTTGAGACCATACTCAAGTGAAATACATCAGACATACATGTTTAAACACTGAATTGTTTCTCTGGTGTGAGAATCTGAAAGTGTAAATAAGGACCAAATGTATAATAGGTATTAGGAAATGGGAAGAAAATGTTTACATGAGAAGGGGAATAAGGGAGAAAGGAAGGGGAAAGGAAAGAAGGGACAAGAAAAAAAAGAATAGAAGGAAAAAATGGAAACAAAGCTTTTGTATTAAGGAGGGGAAGAGGGGTTGAGGGGAGGGGAATGGAAAAAAATAGAAGATATATCACATACAGGTACAAATTTCCTATGATGAATGTGATCATTATGTATATCTAAAATGTATCAATAAAATTCATAGTTTAAAAAAAAGCCAGAGGGGGCCGGCTATTTAGCTCAGTGGTTTTGCCGCCTGCTGTGCAAACCCAAGGACCGGAGTTCGATCCCTGGTACCAAAAAAAAAAAAGAAACTTAAAAAAAAAGCCGGGGATTTAGCTCCGTGGCACTGCGCCTGCCTCGCAAGCACAATTTGTGATCCTGAGTTCGATCCCTGATACAAAAAAAAAAGAATATCCTGTTTGTTTCTATCACCTGCCTGTCACAGGGCCTCAGTTATACTGAAGTGGCAAAAAATCTCAGTTGAACTAATTCCAACCAGCCCCTCCTACTATAACTGGTACTAAAAAATAAAAGTTTTGTTTGTTTGTTTTGTGAGGCCTGAGCATATGAGCCTAAGTGGCTGGTAAAACTAGGCCTTTAGGACCGGGGATTTAGCTCAGTGGTTTCACCACTTGCATTGAAAGCACAAGGACCCAAGTTCGATCCCTAGTACCAAAAAAAAAAAAATAGGCCTTTACTCATCCTCAGATGTTTACAGTTGCTTGAACAGACTGGGGTGAGGACAAGCCAGGGCCACACTGCCTTCCTGTTGTGTTCTGAGTCCTCCTCCAATCATCCTACCGAGAATGTGAGAATTTCATAGTGAAGCACAGGACATGCAGTTTCCCTAATAAGGCCCCAGACTTCCAAGGTCTTGAGAGGCTCCCTGGAACCTGGTAGGGTGGGGAGGTTCTCCAACAACTTATGCCTGCCCTCTTTGGAAAGCAGAGCAAAACAAGTGCTCCCATTAGGGAAAGTGAAACTGTGCTGGCTATGTGTATGAATATGTAGGCCCATGTGGGTACTTGTGTTTGCGTATGCATTTTTCCGTGTGTCCCTGAGGGTATGAGTGATGGGCAGATGGGAGGGGATGCCTATCAGTCTATCCAGAATTTGGTAGCTGTGCTGGCAGAGAGATATTATGATACAATCTCATCTTCACATAACCAGGGAAATTACCTAAAAAACCCAGAGACATAATGGCTGAGAGAGTGAAAGAGCAAAAGGAGGCAGCAAGGGGGGGCCAGCCTAGCTGGAAGGTGAACCTTAGTGTGACTTTTGTGTGGTCCACCTCTCACACTGGCCCCAGTAATTAGGATTTGGATAGAAGAGAATGTGTCTCTGCCTGCCTGCCCCCGCCCGGGCCCTCACCATGATGGAAAGGAAGCAGCCTATTTCAGCCATAGGCTGACTGAATCATCTGGGGCCCCTTCTTTCTGCTCACCGGGTTAGGGCAAAAACTGGGTGTCTGGAAGAAGTCCAGGCCTCGCCGAAGGCCAGGGATAACAGGGGACTCACAACAGCGTTCCACACCCTCATCGATTAGAGTGTTCAGCAGGTCAATGGGGAAGGCACAGACTACAGAGTTAGGGCCCATGCCAGGGCCACCACCCCTGCCAGTCACAAAGACTCCAAATAGCACTTCACGGCCCTCGGGGATGCTTAGTTCAGTGGCGAGCTGGGCACCCACATAAGCAGAGTGGGCTGCCTGAAGCACTGGGTAAGACTGCCTGCCCTCTGGGGTCCTTCGGCGGCGTTTGGGTGCAAAATAGCAGTCGAGGATCAGCTCCCGGTAGTCACTTAGCTCCGGCTCCAGAGCATTGAGCCGTGCCAGGCGTGTTTGCAGGGCACCAGGAGTGTCTGTCACACTAGCAGGCTGCACAGTCAGGAAGTAGACAAAGGCTCCTGAGTGGAAGCTGTGCACATATTTGATATGGTAGGAGTCCAGGTATTTGGGTAGCACTGACAGTGCTGAAAAGCCTGTTTCAAATCCTGAGGCATCAGCCTTGAGGCGTCGGATGGACACAGAGCGGGGGCTAAAGCTAGCAGCCACCGTGGTGTTCAATGAGGATGCCACATAGAAGTAAGAGGCCTGGCCCTGCTCAACCACAGTCACTCGGGTACCCAGGGGGCTAGCCACACAGTCAGGGCAGTCCTCAGGCAGGTTTCCGAGGGCAGAGAAGAGGCAGGCTGGTGCCACCAGGTGCAAGGCTGTTTCTTGGGGCTCCAGCTCATGCAGGAAGCAGCGGCCCTGCAGGCTAGAGCCACAGCTGACGAGTGCGGGAAGCCCAGGCTCCAGCACCAGCACCAGTGTGTCTGTGTCACCTGGTGGCCCATGGGGGCCTGGTCCACAGGTCACACAGGTCTGGCAGCTCGGGTCTCCGGCAGGGCCGGTGGCCACACTCTCCACAAACTGCAGGTCAGGCCCAAGCACGTGCAGGCGATTGCGTGTGGCCACAAACACAGCATTGCCATCCGGGCCACCCTCATAAGTCAGTACGGCTTGCACTGGGCCGGCGGCGGAGAAACGGGGCACTACATACCTCACGTCAAAGTCATGGGCGGTCGCGTAGGGTGTGCGTGGGCACTGCCAGTCCTTCTCTGTGGAGGACACTGCAGACAGCCGCAGAAGCAGCAGAAGCAGCAGGGACCAGGGGGAGCTCCATCGAGACCAACCAGAGGCCCTCAGGGATCCCGCGGGTGCAGGCTTGGCTGGGAACAGCGTGAAGCGGCGGTTCTGAAAGCCCATGGGCAGCCGACCTTTGGCCCAGGTTTCAAGGAAGCCCAGTCTGTCCCGGGCCCAGGCAGACGTGCGCGCTGGGAACCAAGAGGACGCTCACCTGCCGCCCCGCAGCGCTCCAGCACAGTGGATCGGAGGGCGGTGGGGAGAGGCCGGCGGGGCGGAGCTGTGGGCCGTGCCGTGCCTAAAGCCGAGCCCTCTGACTCCGCCAGTCCTTGGAAGTCTGGCTCCTGCAACTTCTCCTGGGCACCTAAATCTCAGTGGCCTGAGGTTGTGTGTCCGTGGAGTGGCCTGGAGAGAAGTGAACAGGCCTGAGTCATTTGGTCCCCCCCACAGCCAACCTGCTCAAGGAGTATGGCTCTTGTTCCGGTGGAGCTAGTTTACACTATGACTCACCAATTCCCACAACTGAGAACAGAGACCAAGAACCCGAGGAAGGAGCCGGGCATGGTGGTGCATGTCTGAAATCCCAGCACTTGGGAGGCTGAGGCAAGAAGATTTCTGCGAATTAGAGGCCAGCATAGGCTACATAGTGAGTCAAGGCCAGCCTGAAGTACAAAGCAAGACCCTGTCTCAAAAAACAACAAAACAAAACAAAAAAATGCATGGAAGGCCAGAGTGAGATGTGAGGGGCTCCAGCAAGGCGTGATATGTGGTTTCACCCTCTGTGAACAGGGACCACCCTTCTACACACCTGCTCTGAGCAGTCAGTGTCAGAGGAAAGTGTTGTGCTCTGCTTTCCCAGGGCACAAAGTCCTGCTGGCTGGACAGTAACAAGTGGTTTACGTGAAGACCTAACCCTAAATCTGATCCCTCCACTACAGTTTCAGTATGTGGAAGCTGTAGAATGGGAGTACAAGCCACAAAGGAACTCTTAGCCATGCATGGTGGAGAAAGTCTGTAATTCTAGCACATGGGAAGCTGAAGCAGGAGGATTCCAAGTTTGAGCCCGGTCTGGGCAATTTAGTGACTTAGTGAGGCCTTGTCTCAAAGAAAAAAACAAAACACCAAGGACCAGGGATTTAGCTCAGTGATGCCATGCCTGCCTTGCAAGCTCAAGGTCCTGAGTTCCATCTCTGATACAGGAAAAAAAAAAAAAAAAAAGAAGACTGAGGATGTAACTCAGTGCAAAGGCTGTAGGTTCAGATCCCAGTACAGGGCTCCGCGATTTAGCTCAATGGTTCCACCACCTGCCTTGCAAGCGGAAGGACCCGAGTTTGATCCCTGGTACCAAAAAAAAAAAAAATCCCAGTACAAAAAAAAAAAGTAATGAAGGGGACTCCTGTGACTGGCTCTGCTCCAGTGCCCCGCCCCCATGAGGAGCATGGACTTTGACTTCCAGGGCACTCTAATCTGATCTGTGAGCCTTGCTGGGCCTCAGTTTTTCAGTCCTTGAAATGAGAATGCAGTTCTGGTTAGAGAGTTTCTTCCCTTTCCATATGCTTGTTGCCCAACTAGGCACACCTTCTCCATTTGCCTTTCATCCCACCCGATTCCCAAATAGTGAAACCCCACACTCCTACCTGACTATTGTCCTACGTACACACACTTATCTGTGACCCTCCTCCTACTATCCCTGACCAGAATAGATGCTAAACTATAAGGAAGCTGAGAATCTTCAGGGGACAGGGTAGCCAGCAGAAGTGCTTTGGGCTGACTATTGACCAGAACACCAATAGCAGTCAGGGAGAGTGACCTTGCATCATCCTGGTCCCTGAGGCAGTGGTTTGGTGTCCAGATCAGGAGGAAGGGGAGGAACAGAAGCACAGAACAGCTGGGTATGCTGGTCAGGTCTATAATCCCAGCTACTCAGGAAGCAGAGGCAAGAGGATTGCAAATTCAAGGCCAACCTGGGAAACTTAGCCAGATCCTGTCTCCAAATAAAATCTAAAATGGGCTGAGGATGTAGCCCAGTGGTAGAGTGTCTTGGGTTTCAATCTGAAGAAAGAAAAGTGGTGGTGGTAGGGATCACAAAATAGGCAGAAAAGAGACCCCAGGCATATATAGCGGGTGAGCAGCCCCCACCAAGCCTGGGGCTGCTCCCCAAGGGGCTGTGGAATCTGGGCAGGTAACCTACTACCATACTAATTCCAATGTGATCTAGGTCAAGGCCAATGACAGAAGCTATGCTGCCATTTCCTAGGACAGTAAGTACCACTATCCTTGTGCATTCTTGGCCCATGCAACCCACACAGACACACCCTCCAACAATGGTTTTAGTGACAGAAAATCTTAGCCCAATTTTCAGAGACTACATGAGGGTAATTCTGACAGTCTGAAGATTAGGTTCACTCAGTGGACCATTTTCTTCCATAAACACTCCCTAGGCCTTTTGCTTTCTTGGCCAACATCAAGATGGAAGCCTTCTCATTGTGCCCTGGGTTCTGCCCAGGGTCCCATGGTAGAGATGACAGAGTGAATGGGGCTGCACATTTACCACTCACGTCCCTGGGATGGGCCTTTACTGGGATGTCCCTGGTGCGTCATGCAGGTCTGACAATGCCAGGCCAGGGAATAGGGTGACAGAGAAGCCCCAGTATAACCAATGGCATCAGCCTTATGAAGGCAGATATGCTTCCTGAAGCCCTATAATTCAAGTGTGTCTCCTCTCAGATCCTCTAGCTCAGTGATGGCAAAACTTTTAGAGCTTTCAATAACAGCCCATTCAGGCATGTGTGCCATAGGCCTTATTGTTCTAGCTCATTCTTAGGTGCCATTCTGAGGAATGTGCTAAGGAGGGGGAGCTGAAGCAGACTGCCCTTCATGAGAGGCCTAAACAAGGATAGTTTCCCCAGAAGCCCATGGGTACAAGGAGAATGGACTCTGCATTTGTGATGAACACTGTGCTGCCTGCCAAGTGCTTTCACTTGCCCTGAAGCCCAGACCACCCCACTTAGATCATTCTTGTCTTACTCAGCTCAGCCCATGCTGAAATATAGCAGTCAATGAAGCAAAGCCACAGCCAGAGATCTGGTGGCAAGGTGGTCCTTGGGGATGTGACTAGAGGTCCCATCCAGGGGCTTAGAGCTGAGGCAGGCATTGTGGCACACTGAGGAGAGCAGGAGAGTAAGGGTAGGACAGTGGTGCCTGGCAAACCTTTACACTATATATGCTAGGACTTTAGCCGAATCAAAACAGCCCCAACTCACGGTCCAGCTCAGAACATGTGACCTCATGTTGGTGCAAGGGCAGAAGGAAAGGGCCTCAAATGTGCCTGTGCCTCTTTGTATGAGGAAACATGTACAGGGCTAGGGAGTATCCGGTCTGTATGTGAGAATGAAGGGGTAAAAGAATCAGTGGCAGGGCACAACAAATATCTTCCCCAAAGCACTTTAATGTACCCAGCAACCCACAGTCCCTGCCTGCTGACTGGGTAAGAGAAGCCAGCCCCACCTGGAGGCTCCCATGGCTTCTCATGTCCAGTGGTCCTGGGAGGGCTGAGTCTGCTCACATTCCCATCAGTAGGTGAGGGGTGTGAGGATGAAGAGGCGGTCTTCTTCCTTACGGATCCAGCGCATCAGCTTATGGATGGCACTGACAGCTGATGCCTTAGTCCCCAGAGGGCTGTAGCACATGTAGAGCTCAAAGGCGCCTGTCACCTGGATGAGGGGGCAAAGGGTGGTCATCTAGGATAGATGCCCATTATGGCCTCTACCCAGAACTTCTACAAAGCCCAGCCCACCCAGGGCTACCTTACCCAGGCTAGGAGGTTCTCGTTGGGGCCTGTGTAGTAGATGGTCTTGAGTGGGCGGGAAGCATTGTGGGCTCGGCTGTGCAGGTACTGGTAAAGCCCTAGTAGCCGCTCCTGCTCCTCTTCACTGGTGTATGGGGCCTCAATCTCAGGACTATAGATAGGGGAGTGAATTTGCAAAGGCATGATTTCTACTGCCTTCTCTGAAGATCTGGAAACACCTAATCCTATTGAGGGAGACTCTACTACATGTCTCACTCTCTAGATGCTTCTGTAGGTCATGGCATTGTCTTTCCACCACAGAAGTCTCCCTGGAAGGGACTGGTGCCCTGCTCCCTCCCACTCCCCAAGTTCATGGTGTCTTTGGGGACCCTTCATTGGAGAGGCCAATCTGAATTTCAGCATCCAAGAGAGAGTGACAAGCCTAGAGTACAGGAAAAGTGAGCTAGGAAACCCTCTGGGCCAAAAAAGAGGTCAGAAATTAACATTTCTGTCCAGATAATTCACTGGGGAAGTGGGTTAGGGAAGGCTCTGCATCCTGGGCTAAACCAAAATGACCCCTAACACAGATGCCCCAGGGCATGGGACTTGGGGAAGTTCTCTTCCAGATTCCTTCCTTAGGCATATTGGTCATTTCCAGGCTTTATGGGTAATGAAGTAGAGAAGTGTATGCCTGTGAGGGTGATAGGAAGTCTGGGTCTCTAGCACCAGAGTAAAAGAGCCCCCAATATGCTGGTCCACTCCTAGAGGGGTGGTCGGCAACAGGGCTGCATCCTATAGGTAAAGACCAACCAGGCTCCCCTTTCCCCACATCTGTGTTTCCCTGAAGCAGTGCCCTCCCTCACCTGGTGAAGAGTCCTGAGCTCTTGGACTTATAGAGGAAGTGGCGCAGGTTAGGGATACCCACTTGGGCAACGCTGTAGTAGGGTGTGCGCAGTGCCTCTCGCAGCGCCAGGTGGGCTCCACGCTTACGAAGGCGCTCCTGGAAGCGCCTGCGGCAGTCAGAGACCACAAAGAAGTCCTCACGATCAGTGGAGACCAGCAGCAGGCAGAGGTCAGTGTCAGGCTCCAGGTATGAGATGTGTGCATGGAAGAAGCCTGCCGAGTTGAATTTAGGCAGGCATACAGGTGTCCACGCCTCACCCTCACGGAAGGATGAGGAGGAACTGATGAGGTTGAAGAGCAGGTGCAGGTCAATGGGATGCAGGAATTGGTCCTTGCGGCGCACAAGTGCTACAAGCTGGTTGTGAGCCAGTAAGATGGAGAAGACCAGGCTGCGCGCACGTGCCTGCTGCAGGCTGGCGCTCACAGCGTCCCGCACAGCTGCAGCCAGGGGCAGACACCTTGCAGCCCCCATCAGAAAGCTGGGGTCTCGCGCCATGAGCTGCAGCAGGTTGTCAGTGATGCGCTCTGAGCCTGAAAGTAGGCGCCGTAGGTCGTAATTCTGCTTCTGCTGAAAGATGTGGCTCAGCTGTGCACCAGTGAGAAGGCTCAGGATCTGGTAGTAGATGTAGAGCAGCTCCTGAGCTAGCTCCTGTGCCGACTGTCGTGTGCGTGCCACTGCCACCAGTACCAGCGGGCTCCGGCGCACAAATACCACCTTGTAGCCATCTAGGGGCAGGAGAGGGTGTCAACCCCTCTGTCAGGAGCCCTCCCGGAGGGGCCTTTCCCCACTCTGCCAGCTCTGTACAGGCCTTCACTTTCTACATCCTCTCCTGGCTCAGAGGTCTGCACTCAGCAGAGGCTTAAGGGGTACAGGGTAAAGACAGGAGCCACACTGTCTTCTTTGCCTGGCACTGGCGTCACACATTGACTCCCTCAAAAACACAAGAAGCTCTTCAGCAAAACACACATTCTTATGTGTGGTAACTCTGCTGGCAAAGGCTGGATAGGCCTAGGGACTAATTTGGTTTTTGTTTTTGGGGGGGCACCTCCCCAGGCAATTGTCACCACTTCTAACAGCAGAGCTCATGTCAGAGCCTCCTTTAGCCCCACCACATCCCTGTGAGGCTGGCAGGCAGTGTTATCCTATGTTCAGGTGAGTACCTTGAGGCTCAGAGAGGTGAGACATAGCACATCCCATCCTCTGGCCTGGGGTGGGGGTGGGGGGTCTGAAACCTGCTCTGAAGTAACCCTGGTCAGTGGAGCTCTCCCTGCTGCCCTCTTCCGGTGGCTCACCTGCATGGATGGAGCGGATGGCATTCTTGTCTGCCTCCAGGAAGGAAACCAGGGCCACCATGACGCCCATGGTGCTGGAAAGTGCTTCTTCAGACCCATGACGGGAGTATACAGGCTTCCCTGCCTCACTCAGCACAAAGACATGCTTCTGGTGCAGGCGCCATGCCTCTGTGGGGTCCTTCTCATCCCCCTCCTCTGGGCCCTCCCCTGGGGGTTCTGTAGCTGGCCGACTGGCTGCCCCAGGGGGCCCGAGCCAGTCCTCAGAGCTTCCAGGTAGCATTTCCTCCTGTAGGTCACGGGCCATTCCTGTCAGCTGGGTACTTAGCTCACTGAAGTCCTGGCTGATCTGGCGCATGTCTGTAGGCAGTGGTGGGCGACCCCCAGAACCCTCCTTGGGGCTATCCCCAGAAGCTGGCCCATCCTCTGACTCAGTTAGGTCTTCATAGGAACGGGCATGGACGAACATGGCACCTTCTTGCCCGGCACCTGCAAGCCAAAAGCACAGGTGCTTAGAGGGGTAGCTGCTGGCAGATACTCTTTGCACAGCAAGGTGCCTAATGTGGCCACTCTAGCATGGCTGCCTGCACTGATTGGGCCAAGATACTGTTCCCTCCAGCCATTGTCTGCATGGAGTCTCTGCAATTTACAGCAGATCTGTTTCCTCCCATCATACTGTGACTAAGACCCAGCCCTCATGGCAGTAGAGGCAGTTGGTATCTGCCTACCTCTCTCACACTTATCTTGCAGTCTATTCCCTTGCCCATCCTTTGCCCATACCGGTCACACTGGCCTTTGTCCATGTGCTCTTTGGACACCCTTAACATGCCCCAACTTACCTTAGGAGCTCTGTACCTGTTGTTTGCCTGGGACTCCTACCTTCCCACATGGCTGACTGCTTGTCATACTTCGATCCTTGGGGAAGATGTTACCTCTTTACCTAACTCCAAACCCATACACTCCACTGTCTCTCTCTCATTGATATTCTTTGGGAAGCTTGCAATCTATTGTCTGTCTTGCCAAATACAATGGTAATCCTCAAGAGCAGTATGCTATGTGCCCACCACCTCTTCCCATGCCTGAAGCCCTGCCCATATTTGATGAGTGTCTCTCTCTAGGGGAAGGCTCTCCTACTCACCCAGGGGCCCCTGATGGACTCCACTAGCCTGTGGCTCCCCCAGGACAGGGATGGACCCAGGACTTTGAGTGTGGTACATAGGCAATATACCACTGAATTACATCTCCAGGCCCCATCACTTATTTTCTTTCCTTCTGTCTGTCTTCTTTCTTTTTTCTTTTGTGGTACTGTGGATTGGACCCAGGGCCTTGTGCATACTGGACAAGTGCTCTACCACTGTGCTACATCCCTAGCCCTTTGAAAATATTTTTTCATTTTGAGACAGGGTCTAAGTTGTTCGGATTGGCCTTAAACTTGTGATCCAGCCTCAGCCTTCTGAGTAGCTGGGAGTATGGGGGCATGCCACTGTGCCTTGCTCCTTTACTATTTTTGACCAAATGTTTAAACAGATACATTTTGAGTCTCTACCATAATTTCAGCACCATACTAGGCATGGGGATGTAACTGCTGTGTGTGTAAAGAGCTCACAATCTTGTGAAAGTAAAAAATGGGCAATACACATATAAACAATCACAAAATAACTAGTGTCCTAACACAGAATTCAGTCAGAGCAGGGCCAATCTGTAAGGTAGTGACATTTGAGCTGAGACCTGAGGAGGGGAGAAGGAGCCAGGGACGTGCACTGTAGATACTAGAACAGGAGCCAGGGAGCACAGGTTGAGCAGCTTAACAGGAAAGGGAGAGAACGGCCAGATATAGTCCAAATCCCACTTCCCACAGCAATGCCAGCACCTGATAATACCCAATGAGTGACAGAACAAATGCATGAACAAGTGGGATAGAAAGTGTTTGGGAATCCCAGTCCCAGGGTCAACTGGCTGGGGCTGCACAATCTGCCCGTACCTGGCTCCATCCCCTGGGCCAGTCCTGGCGTGGGGCTCTCGGCTCTCTCCACACTCAGTTCATCAGAAGGAGCCAACGTGCCATCAGGGCAGTCACTGCTTCTCTTCCTCTGCACATCAGCAGCCATGCTTTGGGCTCTCCTGTGGGGTGAACCAAAGCATCATGGAAGGCAAAGGGAAAGTGCAACCAGTAGAGTCACTGCCATCATTATCATTAGAAAGTACAGGAAAGTGTCCCTTACCAGGACCTATTAATGCAAATTCCTGGGAAGTGGGTTATAAGTATTCCTTTCTAAAAAAATAAGTATTAGCCAGGAATGGTGGTGCACACCCATAATTCCAACACTCTGGGAGGCTGAGGCAGGTAGATTGCAAATTATAGCCCAGCCTTGGGCCATGCCTGCCTGGCAAGCTCAAGATCCTGAGTTCAATTCCCCAAATTAGAGCCCAGCCTGGGCAACTTAGTGAGACTCTGTCTCAATAAATAAATGAGCCAGGCCTGGTGGTGCAAGCCTGTGATCCCAGCACTCAGGAGGCTGAGGCAGGAGGATCACTGCAAGTTTGAGGCCAGCCTTGGCTACATAGTGAGTTCAAGGTCAGCCTGAACTGCATAGTGAGACCTTCTCTAAATAAATAAATAAACAAATGATAAATACATAATAAAAAAATTTTAAAGGTGCTCAGTGTGAAGGCACTCAGTTCAATCCCCAGTACCACCAAAACAAACAAATAAACATGTTTTTTCTTCTGATTATGAAAGGAAGATATATTTGTTGTAGGAAACTTGGAAAACCCAGAAAAGCATAAACTTAAAAAAAAAAAAAGATCAGCATCTTCCTCATGTGGTGATCTTTCACTATGCCTACTCCAGGGTTTTTCCTTCTAGTTTTTTGTTTGTTTTGTACCGAAGATTGAACCCAGGGCCTTCATACTGTAGTGGGTCTTCACTAAACCCCCAGCCTTTTATTATTTTATTTTATTTATTTTTAAATTTTCATTTCATTTATTTTGAGACACTCAGTAAGTTGCCCAGGCTAGGCTTGAATCTTTTTTGTTTTATTTTGTTTCCAGTTTTTTGAAATAGGGTCTCACTGTATATAGTCAGGCTGGCCTTGAACTAGCAGCAATCCTCCTGCCTCAGTCTTCCAAGTGCTAGGATTATAGGTGCCCACTACCATACACAGTTGTATTTTTATTTTTAATCTGACTCATAAAAATTGTTCATAATCAGTCTTTTAGAATGTATATAAACCAGGTGGGTGGCTTATACCTGTAATTATAGCACTTGGGAGACGGAGGCAGGAGGAGGATCGCTGTGAGTTCAAGGCCAGCCTGGACTACACAGTAAGTTCAAGGGCAGCCTGGACTACATAGTGAGTTTGAGGCCAGCCTGAACTACATAGCAAAACCCATCTCAAAAAAAAGAAAAGTACATGAAATGCAAAAAAAAATTTTTTTTTAAATGCCAAAATTTTTAACAAACTATTAATAGAAGCCAACACTTACTGAGTGTCAGGGCAGCACCCTAGGAAGTGTGAGTTATGTTATGTAATCCTGGGCAGTCTTCTATGAGTCAAGTCAGGCTAGCTCTGTAGATGAAATAGAAACTGAGAGTTTAAGGCACTTGCTTAAAGTTACTACAGGAAGGAAGCATTGATATGAAAACTAAAACAATTCTATGCCCTGATATCCTTCACTCCACATTCTATCAACATTTTGCCATTCAAGACTGAGTTGTCAGTAATTCTTTCTATTTTAATGCTTGTAGATAAAAAAGTGACACATAGCCAACAGGCTTTTCTTCAGGTTGGAGCTCTGTTTTTCTCTTTTCGTACTTCTTGAATTTGAAAATCATCCAGGCCTGGCCGGGGATTTAGCTCAGCGGTTCCGGTGCCTGCCTCGCAAGCACAAAGTCCCAAGCTCATAAGAGACCCTGTGCCTAAACCACCTAGCTAAGCTGTTCCCAAACTTCTAACCCACGAGATCTGTCAGAGATACAATATGTGATTGTTTTACACTATGTTTTGGAGTCATTTTTACACAGCAATGGCATTTTACACAGCAATTCAGCATATTATTTATATAGAAAAAATATGCATTTACATAATAAAACTTGATCTAAGTCTCAAGTTACATTCCAAACTGAACTGATATAAAATCATTAGGCGTCAACAAAGGAGGCTTACTTGCATTATGGCTGTTGCTGATGCTAAAAGAGATCATGATACGGCATCAAAGCTACCAGCAGCCTATGAGTGTGGCTCAGTGGCAGAGAGCACTTACTTTGCATGCGTGAGGCCCTGGGTTTGATACTCGGCACAGAAAGATGGGGGTGAAGGAAGCAGGGAATGCTTTAACCACTTTATATCCTAACACTATAATTTATTAAGCATATGATATATATTTTCCTTGTATTTTAGAAAAGTGGGACATAGGGTTTGATGAGAAAAGCATTACACTTTTTCCATTTAAAATAACCAGGGGAGGGCTGGGGATTTAGCTCAGTGGTTCTGCCACCTGCCTTGCAAGCGCAAGGTCCCAATTTCAATCCCCGGGACCAAAAAAATAAATAAAATAAAATAACCGGGGGGGAGGGCCAGGAATGTAGCTCAGGGGCACTGTGCCTGCCTGGCAAGTGCAAGGTCCTGAGTTCCATCCCTGGTACCAAAAAAAAAAAAGAATTTAAAATAACTGAGGGAAAAAAAAAAATAAAATAACTGTGGAGGGCTAGAGGTGTAGGTCAGCGATAGAGTACTTGCCTAGCATGTGCAAGGCCATAGCTTTAATCTCAACAAAAAGCTCCAGCACTGAAAATAATAATACTAAGCCAGGTGTGGTGAGGCACACCTGAAAGCCCAACAGTTGGGAGGCTGAGGCAAGAGGATCACTGAGAGTTTGAGGCCAGATTGGGTTACATAATGAGTTCAAGGACAGCCTGAACTATGAGGGTAGATCCTGTCTTAAACAACAACAATAAAAATAATAATAATAATGGGAAATAAGCACAAAATTAGTGATTCCAGAAAGAATGTCCAACTTTCACAGAACAGATTTTTTTGTTTGTTTTTGTTTTTTCCTTTGTTTTTTTGAGACAGGGTCTCACCATGTAGTTTTGGGGTTTTTTTGGTATGGGGGATCGAACTTGGGACCTTGCGCTTGCAAGGCAGGCGCTGGAACCACTGAGCTAAATCCTCCCCCCCCCATGTACTTTTAAACTCATTATGTAACCCAGGCTGGTCTCGAACTTGCAGTGATCCTCCTGCCTCAGCCTCCCAAGTAGTGAGATTGTGGGTATGTGCTACCACACCCGGCAAGATTATGGATGTAAGGGCCAGGGATTTAGCTCAGTGGTTTCAGTGGTTTTGCTGCCTGCTGTGCAAGCACAAGGACCCAAGTTTGATCCCTGGTATCAAAAAAAAAGATTATGGATGTTAAGTAGCAAATTCTGTATCCAGAATCTGAGTACTTCTCATTGGCTCAGTGATCACCATGATGGATAATCCACCCTTATCTCACAAGAATTTTCTAACCAGTCTCTCCATTTTTGTCTATGGTCCTGCGTAGTCTGTCCTCAAAGCTCACAAGGTTGTTTTTTTTTTTCTGGTACTGGGGCTCGAACTTGGGACCTTGCACTTGCGAGGCAGGCATGGTGCCACTGAGCTAAATCCCCGGCCCTCACAAAGTAATCTTGAGACAGAAGTCAGGTCATGTAATTCCTCTGCTCACAACTCTGTAATGACCCATTTCACTTAGCAAGAAAGCTGATTTTCTCACAGGGTTGTATAAGATCCTACTCAATATATTCTCTTTTTTTTTTTTTTTGGTGGCACAAGGGTCTGAACCCATGGCCTTTGCACTGAGCTACATCTCCAATCAACTCTCCTGTTCTCCTTTTTTTTGAGACAGGGTCTTGATATGCAGTTCAGCTTGAGCTCACTATGTAGCCCAGGCTGCCCCAAACTACACAAACCTCCTGCCTCAACCTCCTAAGTGCTAGGGTTAAAGGCATGTGCCACCATGCCTGGTGCCCTGTCTCCCTTTGTGAGTCTCACTATGTAGTTTAGGCTGGACTTTAATCACTTATGTAGCCCAGGCTAGCCTCGAACTCATGGTGATCCTCTTGCCTCCGCCTCCCGAGTGCTGGGATTACAGGCATGCACCACCATGCCCAGCTCCCATTTTCTTTTTCTTTTTCTTTTGGTACCAGGGATCAAACTGGGTCCTTGTGCTTTTGCACCAGGAGGTGAAACCACTGAGCTAAATCCCCGGCCCTCCCATTTTCTTTTTAAATTCTGAGACAGTCTTACTAAGTCTCCAAGTTACTGAGAGTGGACTTGAACTTGCAATCTTTCTTCCTCAACCTCCAAAAGCACTGGGATTACAGGATGTGCCACCACCACCACCATGCCTGGCTCTCCTTTGGCCTCATTTCCTATCCTTTCTCCCCATTAATTCTGTCTCAGTCCAGTCCCATGGGCCTCTGCAGCTTTCCCTAAGTATCCTGAGCACTCCTTTACTTCCAACCCTGCCCTTGATAAACATCCCCCACCCCTCACCCCATGCCACAGTTTCCTGCCTGGGCCAGTGTGTGCCTTCCCTCCTCATTCCTCTAGGTTGTTCCTCAAGTGTTGCCTTACCAAAGTGGCTTTCTGCAACAGCCCTGCTTACTCTGGTTTACTTCACTGGGCTGAAAGTCACTCTGGCTTGCTACAAATTTCAGCCCATCAGAGCCACATGCAGTAGTTCAATCAGCATTTGCCTAATACACATCTTTGGGAAGGAGAAAGTGAAAGATCTGTGAAGAACACCCAGCTCCAGCACACCTATGATGAAGAAAACCCTGCCTATGAAGACTTGTCTTTGGTGGTTATCAAGTATTTAGGAACAATGGCTCTGCAGTCAGGTAGACTTGGTTTTATTGGTCTTAGTTTTCTCATGTATAAATTGGAGCTAATGATAGTACTGATTCATTGGATTGTAGAAGGATTAAATGAGATCATACATGTGATTTGGTTACCTTGGCACAAAGCAGGTATTTATACACTCAGCAGCTATGATTAACGTATGTTTTTGTTTTTTGTTTGGGTTTGGTTTGGTTTTTTTGGAAACAGGGTCTCACTATGTAGTTCAGGCTGGCCTTGAACTCATTATGTAGCCCAGGCTGGCCTCAAATCACAGCAATCCTCCTACTTCAGCCTCCCAAATGCTGGGATTATAGGGATGCACCACCATGCTCAACTAATGATTATTCTTACTGAGCATTCAGACCAGTAACAGCACTTACACACAGATCCAGTGGTCTCTGTCACGTTAATCAGTCTTTTGAGAGTTTGCTCAGCCTGAGACAGATCCTGGATGAGTGGCCTGGATGTTTGGCTGTGACCTTGTGACCTAGAGCCAGGAGGGGTCTAGCTGAAGTGACCCACCTATGATATCAGCCTAAAAGAGCTATGGGCCTCAGGCTGGGAGTACCACCAGGATAACTGGCTATTTATAGGCCTTTGGTGTTTCAGAAACAGATCACTAGCTTTCTGCTACTCCTGGAAGTCTCTCCCAAGTTTAGTTCCTTGATCTGCAAAATGTCCCTCCTTCTATGGCCTTGCACTTCTGGATCAAAGATCCAAACAAGGGAAGAACACAGTAGTACACACACACCTGTTATTCCAACTACTTGGGAGGCTAGGCAGGAAGATCACAAATTCAAGACCAGTCTGTGCAACTTAGTGATACTGTCTCAAAATAAAAAATTAAAAGGGCTGGGTATACAACTCAGTGGTAAAGTGCTCCTAGGTCCAATCCCTAATACCACAAGCAAAAATCAAAATGAAACAAAATCCAAATAAAGTCTACAGCAGCCTAATCCCTAGTGAGCTTTAGCTGACTGAGTCTAGTGTATCTAAATGTACCCAACCTGGTACCTCTATGGGTTAGGAGGCAGGGTCAGCTGTCTGGGACTAGTGGATGCTTCTTTAACAACAGTTCCCCTGCCAAATGAGATCAGGTACCATCTCAGCCTCTTCAAGGTCAGTCTGAAGTTGTAGCCAGAAGGCCTAAAGAAGCAAACAGCTTTCTGGATACCCTGGAAACTCAGGCAGGAAGACTGAGTGCATCACAGCAAAGTCCATCCCAATCCCCACTGGATCCTCAACCTGTGCAGCCAAAGCTCCTGGGAGCTCAGCCTGAAACAGGAGGAAGGTCTCCTCAAACCAGCCCCAGATGGCTTTCTGGGTACCTTTTTCAGGCAGCCCCTCTAGATGCCCTGAGGCCTTGCTACTTTTCTAGAAGTGCCCAACAGGGCTTGAGGCAATGTCACCAAGCAGGTCGGCACAATCAGCCCTTTTGGTATGTTTCTGTCAGGTGGCCCTGGGAATAGGCAGAGCCTTGCAAGAGCCCCTCCTTGCTGGCTCCTAACTACCTTGGTTCTTCTTCCTGCTTGAATAGTGCTTCACCCTGCCTTGACTATTTGGGGAATAGGCTATCTGGAGGGTGGTGTCAGGATGCACAATGTGTGGCAGGACAGGGCACCGGTGAGGCTGTGCTTTAGTTTCTTCAGCAGGATGCCTACTCTATGCTGAAAGCCTACCATGGTCCTTGTGACTTTTGCCAGAGGCTGGTCCCACTCTTTAAGCAAACTTGAACCTGGAAAGGGGCAACCCAGTTATCTGACAGTTACAGTACAGTTGAAAGCAACGTCCCAAATCCCAGGACCCTTCCAAGAGCTGCCTGTCTCACTCTCCAGCACCTCTGTTGCTTTCAGAGAGGACTCTAAAGACCGAGTATGTGTGCACTGCCGGGTGTGGATTTTACCTACCCCCTGCCTCCTAGGGGATCTTAACCACCCACCTGGCCAAAGATGGGTTTCAGGCCCCGTCTTTTGTATTCCCCAGCTAGGGCGCCAGCCGGCTGGGGGACCCTGGGAGATTCAGGCCTTTTGCAAATCGCGCTGTAGGTGATAGGGACCCCAAGTCTTCAAGCCCCTCCCTCCAAGGATGACAGCTCTCCTGACTGTCGGAGCTCTTAGGCCACGTGGGTTGGAAGTCGGACTCACCTATTTCTTTGGGGGGGACACCAGGCGCATGGGAGGTGCCAGTCACTGTCCTCTGCCAGACCCCCGGGGAGACAAGAGTGTCCAGCCGGGCTTGGCGTGAGGGCGGAGGTTTGCGGGGCCCCGGTCCCTGGAGGACACAGACATGGCCACAGTGCAAGCACCGACTCCTCCTACCGGCCCTCGCCCGGCCGCCGGCGCAGGAAGAAAGATCCCGACGCTCTCTTGTAGTCCAGGCCTGGCTCCGGCGGCTCGGCCCTCCCCAGCCCGCCCCCGGGGTGCATTGTGGGAGATGTAGTCGTCGCTCCTCGCTTCAGGCGGCGCTGTAGGACCACCCGGGTGCTGGGCGGGGCCTAGCCCAGGTCCGGGTCGCCTACCGGGCTGCCCCACCGCACAGGGTCCAAAGCCCCGCGCCAGCCGCAGACCTGGGCCCTTCGTCTGAACTAGCTAGAGGATTATTTCAAGGGACAGAAAGGAACATCGGCGTCCTTTCCCACTGATTGTAGGAGTACAAATTTGGGGCTGGAGAAATGTCACCAGTGGGCGCAGCCATACTGACTGTAAAGAAGGTGGGCATGCGCATAAGCCCCACTAATCAGGCTAAAAACATCTTTTCACCTCTCTTTAATACACCAGTATGAAGCTATGAGTAAACATAGAATAATCTTGGAAGCTTAAAAAAACACGAATCCCTAGAGATTTTGATTTAATTAGGCGGGCATGGGGAACCAATCATCAGTATTATTTAAAAAGTTCCCCATACAAGGAAAAAAAGTTTCCCAGGTGATTTGCCAGGGAAGAAACACTTTTTGTAATTTCCTAGATACAAAAAAATAAAGACAAGAAACGTAAGGCTTTCTCCAACGCCTCTTATTTTTGCCAAAGTCTCAAATAAAATTAGGGATTTGACGATGCTACACATGCTTTTCTGAAGCAGTTCTGGGATGAAGGAAAAAGTCAAAAATCACACCTCTGAGCCGGGCATGGTGGCACACATCTGTAATCCCAGCACTCCAGTCAACTGAGGCAAGAGGATTGCTATGAGTTCAAGGCCAGCCTGAGCTGTTAGTGAGTTCAAGTCTAGTTTAAACGACATAGCAAACCCTGTCTCAAAAAACAAAACAAAGAAAAACACCCAAACAAAACAAATCACACCTCTGACTCTTACTGCTGCTCCCACATGAACCTGAGCCTAATTGAGCCCTATGCTCAGCCTGGGCTTTTCCCCACAGTCTCAGATGGCTTCCACTGGGAGCCTGCTCCACCACACTGGCATGTGCTGTAACACTGTGGCATTTCACAGGAGATGGCTTTGCATAAGGCCATCCAGTCCTTCCCTTGTGTAGCTCAAGGGAAGTTTTCCCTGTGAGAAAATGTCATTTCTTAATTGTTGTTTCCCTTGGAATGGAGACTGGAGGAAGGAAAAGGATCCTTTCCAGGGCTGGGGATTTAGCTCAGTGGTTTCGCTGCCTTCTGCGCAAGTGCAAGGACCCAAGTTTGATCCTCCCCAGTACCCAAAAAAAAAAAAAAAAAAAAAAGGGATCCTTTCCAGGTCTCCACAGGTCACTCAATATTTTCTCACTTGACAAGCTCAGGACTCCAAGTTCCCTCCCTTAGGGCATTTATCATTGATGTAGTTTTGCTACATTGTAAGAATTTATTTATTTATTTATTTATTTATTTATTTATTTTTGGGACCCGGGATGGAACTTGGGACCTTGTGCTTGTGAGGCAGGCGCCAGAACCACTGAGCTAAATCGCGGCCCCATTATAAGAATTTAAAGCAGTTTCCCCAGGGCTGTGGTGTAGCAGAGTGATATAGTCCTTGCCTAGCATGTGTAAGTTCAATCACGATATTGGAAATAAAAACAAAGATCTTATTTATATTTTCTGATTGGTACAGACATATATTTGCTCTATTTCATTAACCAGAAGTTACACTATGTGGAATTAATTTTCATAGAAGAAAATTTAAAAGTTTTCTACCAAAGCAGTCTCCTTGATGATCTCTATGTGAATCTCGATATTTCTTCTAGAATCTCACTCTTGCTTTTAAGAACATCAGCTCCACCAGACAGTAGTACCGTATTCTGGAAGTATTATATCTACTTAGCTAAGCAAATGGCCATATATCCCATGTGCTTTTGGCTAAGACTTGTGCTTATGACACTCTCACAGTGCAAACCAGTGGACCCTTACTAAAACATTTTTTTAATTTTTTTTCTAAAACATCTTAAAGAGCTGAGCATGGTGGTGCATGTATGAAATCCTAGCACTCTGGGGGGCTGAGGCTGGAAGATCCCAGATTGTAGACCAGCTCAGGCATCTTAGAGAAAGACCCTGTCTCAAAAATGGGGGTGGGTAAGGGGATGTAGCTCAGTGCAAAGGCCATGGGTTCAATCCCCAGTACTCCAAGAAACAACAAACCCTCCCATCAATTCCAGTTTATGAAGATGCTACTTTTACCTTGGACTTCAACACAATTAGCAAGCTGCACAGCACTTTCTGTTACCTCCAGGTGGGATCCTTAAAGCCCCAGCTTTTCTTTTTGTCTGGGCTTGTGATTTTCATGGGCTTATCATGTTATCACCATAGCAGAAGTAGGAAGAACTAGCTGGGACTAGGGCAAGTGTAACAATTAGACCTGTTCTTCTGCAGATTGCCTTTCTTTTATAGCATCAATGGAGATTTCAGAACTTGAGGTGCTGGCAAGGTTGTGGCTAAAGTGTATCCTGAGGCTAGAATCTATTCCCAGATCTGTTACTATCTTGCTTCTGTATGTGGGGCATCAGCATCTTCAGCAGTTTCCCTTTTTTCTTTTTCTTTTTTTGGGTACCGGGGATTAAACCCTGGTCCTTCCACTTGCGGGGCAGGCAACAGAAACACTGAGCTAAATCTCTGGCCCAGCAGTTTCCCTTTTACAGGAATATAAGTACTTAGTACAAAGCATTCTGAGGTAATAATAAGAATAGCCAGTCCTACCCTGGAATTTCCCAGCCACGTGGTGCTGGGGATTGAACCCAGAGGTTTGCATGTGCTAGGTGAGTGCTTTAGCACTGAATTACACCCCCAGCGTCCTCTTCCCTGGAATTTTGAAGAAGTTTTTCTTCCTACCTTTTATCACTGTAGCACCTGGTAAAGCAGTCAGTTTTCAAGCTGTGCTGGAAAATTTTCCCTATGGTCTTTTTTTTTTTCTTTTTTCTTTTTTTGGTACCGGGGATTGAACTCGGGTCCTTACACTTGCAAGGCAGGCAGTGGAACCACTGGGCTAAATCCCCGGCCCACCCTATGGTCTTATATCATATGAATTTCTACCAGTTCTTTGTCTCTTATTTTTACATTTGATCAAGTTTCTTCTTTAGATGCTTAAGAGCCATGGTCACAAAGGAGACCAAGATAACAGGGAACAACAGATAAAGACAGTGTATTTGTCTTTGCTGGATCTTCTCTTGTGTTGTGCTGCAGTGGGCCAGCTCTTGCGTATAGTTTTTGTTGTTGTTGTTGTTTTTTAATTTTGAGACAGGGTCTTGGTCTGTCTCTGTCTCTCTCTTTTTAAATTTAATTTAATTTTATTTTTTGAGACAAGATCTCGCTACGTACTTCAGGCTGGCCCTGAACTCACTGCGTAGCCCAGACTGGCCTCAAACTCATGGTGATCCTCCTGCCTCAGCTTTCCTGACTACTGGGATTACAGGCATGTGCCACCATGTGCAGCAACTGCTGCTGTTCCTCCAACTCTCCCTCCCTCTCCTTCTTCTTCAGCTCCTATCTGTCATCCATCTATAGTCACTCGCTCATTCCCTTGGTCCACAGCTTTAAATACTTGTGGTATGTTGATACCTCCCAGATTTGTGACTCTTAGCATTATCTTTATCTTGAACTCCAAACTGAAGAATCCAATTGCCAAGCCTACATCTCTCTTATTTCCTTGGCATCAAAAATTCAGGGCTGGGGATTTAGCTCAGTGGTGCCACCACCTGCCGTGCAAGGTCCTGAGTTCGATCCCCGGTATCAAAAAAAATTCAAGCTACCCAAAACTGAACTCCCACTCTTCTTACCACATTTGCTCCTTCTGCATTCTTCCCTCACTTCCCTTATTCCAGTCAATATGTCTCCTATTTCTATTATAGCCGTTCTGGTACAAGAACCATCCTCTGTAGTTGGAATATTGTAGCAACCTCTTTTTTTTTTTTAAACATGATTTTCTTTTTTCTTTTCTTTTCTTTTTTTTTTTTTTTTCTACCAGGGATCGATCTCTGGACCTTGCACTTTCGAGGCAGGCTCCGAACCACTGAGCTAAATCCCCGGCCTTGTAGCAACCTTTTATCAGGCTGTCCTGTTTCTCTTCTTTCTCATCTTCAATCTATTTTCAACAAAACAGTCAGCTGTTAACATGGAATTTAGCTCATGATATTCCTCTATTCAGAGTCCTCAAACAACTTTTCATCTCTCTCCTTACAGAAACCAAACTTACCTCTAACCTGCAAGACATGGCAGGCACTTCAAAACAACTCAGTTCCAGACTCTACTGGTTCTTCAAAATTCTAGACATGCCTGCACATTATAGCCTTTGCCCTTGCTGCTCTTTCTGCCCAGAACACTTTGCATAGATAACCTTCTAGCTTGGCTGTTCAACTTTGGATCAAGACTTCAATGACAGCTCAACTTAAAGTTACAATTTCTCCCTGAGAACATCCTGCTCCTCTTCTTTCTTATTTTTTTGTTTTTTTGAGACAGAGTCTATGTAGGTCAGGCTGACTCTGAACTCATTATGTAGCCCAGGCTGGCCCCAAATTTGTGGCGATCCTCCTGTCTCCTCAGCCTCCTGCATGCTGGGACTACAGGCCTGGGTCACCACACCTGGCTCCTTCCTCTTATTTCCATAGAATTTATTACCACCAGAGAAATTGCAAACTGTATCATGTTTAGTTTGTCTGTGTCCAACAATCATCCCACCCCCATTTTCACTAGGGAAACAATGTATTGACTTCGTTTATTCCTGTATCTCTACTGCCTGATACAGTAACTGTTTTACAGCACACACCTCATACAATTTTTTTTTTTTCTTTTGAGTCAGGGCCTCACTATGTAGTTCAGGCTGGTCAACTCACTATGTAGCCCAGGGTGACCTCATTTGGATTACAGGTGTGTGGCACCATGTTGGGCATTGTTTTGTTTTTAGAGATAGTCTTGCCACGTAGTTCAGGCTGGCCTCAAATTTGAGGCAATCCTCCTGCCTCAGCCTCCTAATTATCTGCAATTATAGGCTGGTGAGGGGTGAAGTTACTCACCTCTCAGAAGATAACTTTAAGGATTCTTCAACCCAACAACCTTCTTTCTTTACAATGAAGCCGGCTTTATTTAGAATGCTTTGTGGGCATTTCTTGTATCAGACTTCTTTTATATTGTAATGTTGAATTTAGGCTACAAAATCAGGTTACTTTCTCTGAGGGCCCACTAACAGGGAACCAGGTGGCTGACACCAACGAGCCTTTCAACAATGTAGACAATACACTCAGGAACTTGGGAGCCAGTTCTGCTCTGGGAAGAACACTAGCTGAAAGTGAAGGAATCTGACCACCACCATCCTGGTCTGAGCAGAGACCACTTTAAATCCCTCCCCTCTGCTATGTTTTTACACCTGCTATAGATGTATCATCATGGGATAAGGCCCAATAAGCACAGGTACATCCTAGAATTCCCAATCATTGTTCAGCCCTGCTCTTGATAAATAAAATACAACCTTGTACATTTTCAAACCCCGTCCCAGGTGGATAGTCACAACTCCTTTGTACTGAACTCTCCCCCTTGAAAGTCCCACTGCGATTTCTACCTTCCACAACTGCCCCCTTTTTTATGCTCATGACCCTATAAAAGACCTTATAGCCTGTATGAGAGTAAGCTGGTCTAGTCTTTAGTGCCAGAGCAGTCCTTCTCAGGTTTGTTTTGAAATAACCCTGTCTTTTTGAGCTTGTACTTCTGCTTCTTTTCCTTTTTCCTGACAAAGATTCTGGAGGTGAGCTGTAAAACCAAATTGTGTTTTCTTGCTGGGCGTGTTGGCAAATGCCTGTAATCCCAGGGCTCTGGAGGCTGAGGCAGGAAGACTGACATGAGTTCAAGGCCAGCCTGAATTACATAGGGAGACCCTGTCTCAAAAAAGTTATGTTTTCTTGTTTTCCAGTAGATTAACAAGTTGCAGTTTCCTTCCAGCTCCTCTCTGACCTTGCATAAGGCACTCTGGGGTAGATTTATTGCCCGAGAGCACGCCCTGTGGAAGCTGAGTGGATTTATGGGTCTGACTACTGAATCTTTAACATGGATAACTGTCTGGTGTTTTTGAACTGGAATGTCTAAAAACCATCAGAAGGAAAAGGAGACAAGCCTCTGTGATGTACTGCTACTCTAATCCAAGTAACTTCTTCCTCAGGTCTCTGGTAGAAGGCTGTAAGGGCCTGAAACCAGCGTCTCCTATGGGCTCAGGCACTGTCAGTGGCAAAAACGCTCTCCATTTCCTTCACACGGTTAATAAGGCGGTCTGGAGCGAGGCAGGCCAAGCACGCACCCAAGCTCCTGGCAGGGAGCAAACCTAGGGACGGGAAAGCCACACACTATGTCTTGATCAGTTCCAAGGGCAGAGCAAAGAAGGGTGTGGCAATACTGCCAATATCAGGAAGGCTGGGCCAAGAGGTTCGCAAGTTCGAACCCAACCTGGCCAATTTAGGGAGACCCTGTCTGAACATAAAACATTTTTAAAAAGCGTTAGGGATATCCCTCTGTGCGAAGACGCTAGGTTTAATACTAAGTACCGCAAAAATAAACCAAGAAAGAGGAAGGAAAACCAGCGCAGACGGCACAGGCCAAACCATGACCTCCCGTAGGCCCCACCAACTGGGAAGCCCGCCTTCCTATTGGCTGAAGCGAGCAGCGTGCCCTAAACTCCTCCTCAGAAGGCCAGGCCCCTGCGCGCGGGGTACCGTGGGAGTGGAGGCGGCCCGGCGGCCAGGAGGCTGCAGTACTCCATTTCCCGGCGGGCAGAGCGCCGAAGACGGCGGCGCGGTGCCTTTGTGGAAGCAGTGGCCCGCTGGGAGGAAGTTCCGGTCTCCGAGGCGCTGGGTCGGTGGCGGTGGCTGAGGAGAAGGAGGAGCGGGCCGCGGCGGCTGCGCTGCCTCGGTAAGGGACCGGGGTGGAAGAGAGGGCCCGCCAGAGACTTAGGGATAAGAACCTTCGCAGTGGGCCGCTCTGGATGGCGTGGGCCCGCGCGGCTCGGAAGCCGCGGCTCCGGAGCCGCGGGGCGGCCACGGCCTCCGCAATTAGAAAGAGAACAGAGCAGCGGTGTGATCAGGGAGGCGCCGCCCGCGGCAGGGCCTGGGGCGGGGCCCGGGGCAGCAGCAGAATTACCGGTCCCGGCGCGGAGCGAGGACCGCTGTGGGGCTAAGGGTCGGCGCGTGGTGGCGGCTCCATGCTCCCGGTCTGCGGCGAAGCTATGGGTGGGCTCTTTCTTCCTGTTTGTCTGCTTCTGTTCCAGTTCTGAGGCATTGCTAGAGCGGGAGCCTTTCTCTTGTCCAACACGTAGCGTTGCACGCAGACACCGACAGACACAAGTGGGCTGGGCCGGGCGGGAGGGCGCGAGAGCTCAGCCGGGTCAGGCGGGAACGACCTGGTGGGTTCATCGCCCGTTGTGCGAATGTGAGAGGAGAGGAATGTGTCCCATTTTTACACTTTAGGTTCTTGTAAATATGTGTTTTTCTCCTAACTTTGGAATTGATGTTGTGCTAATGAGTTCAACTCCGGGCCAGCCTTTTTTAATAAAAAGAAAAAGCTTGCTTTGTAGCGTGAATAAACTATGAGGGTAATTGAATTTTTGTGCACATTATGGGTTTGCTTGTGATGTTCAGAGTAGCTGGATCTAAGTGAAAGAGTTGAGTGGAATCTCATGCAGCGAGTCACCTGGTTCACATTCTGAACCATGGATTGTGCCCTAGCTTTATTAGTTCCCAACTTCCTGTTTAGTAATGCCATCAACGTGAATGACTTAATTAAAAATACAGTATGTCACTGTTACGAAACTTGTGAGGACTGTAAGAAGAGATATTAAGAACTGGTACCATTTGGTGAAACATAAAAGTTGAATCTGAACTTTGTCTCCTTAAGTAGCACCTGTGTAAATACCTAACCTTTAGGATAGGTACCAGGTCTCTCTACAGTTGTAATGCCCTTCCTTACGGAATCTCCCTGTTCCCCCAATACTGGGGCTAGAACCCAAGGCTTTATGAATTCTATATGCAAGGGCTCTCCCATTGAACTGTATTTCCCCCCTCCCCCCAGCTCTCCTTACAGAATTTTGGGACTAGACTTAGGTTTATTTTTCTTACCTTTAGGGTCTCCTAGCCTTTCAGACAGGATAGAATCGCCAAGGGGGACGTTACTAAATGTACTCTTTAGGAAGAAATTTGAGCAAGATTTTAATCTTCTGTCAACATGTTTAATGTATAAACATGTTAATCTGATTCGGTTGCATAGGGACGAAAACTATTGGAAAGTTGTGAAAATTTAAAAGTCATAAATCTTGCCTGTGATCCCATGCCTGTAATTGCAGTACTCAGGAAGCTGAGGCAGAATTGCTGTGAATTTGAGGCCAACCTGGGCTACATAGTGAATTCAAGGCCAGCTTGAACTGCATAGCAAGACTCTGTCTCCAAAAAAAAAAAAAAGTCACAACTCTTTCTTTGAAGCCGTATATAGTGGCTTCAAATGTAGTTGTGTAATCACACCCTTCTGGATGGCTGAGACAGGAGGATTGAAAGTTTGAGTCCAGCCTGGGCAATTTAGCAAGGCCCTGTCTCAAAATAAAGGGCTGAGAGTATAGCTCAGTACAAAGGCCCTGCATTCAATTCCCAGTACTGTGCCCTCCAACAAAAAGAAAGTCATTCTTAGAATCTTCTAGTTATGTACCAAGCAAGCTATATACAAATTTTGTTAGGTACTCACAACGCGTTCATTTTGTTAGCTTTGTTCACTTAGTTAACTGGAACTTACTCAGTTAACTGGAACTTACCTTACCACACTGTGGAACTCAGTGTAGCAGAGTGGAAGACTGGGTAACTATAGTAAGAGGTCAGATCAGATAGGGACTGAATCCTTGCTACCTTCACTAACTCATTGACAATGAGCAAATTGCCTAGTTTCTTTGGGCCTCAATTTCCTCAAAAGCAATGAAGTTTGGCTGGGGATTCAGCTCAGTGGTTCCGCCAGCTGCCTTACAAGCACAAGAACTCAGGTTTGATCCCCAGTACCACACACACACACAAAAAGAGCACTGAAGTTAATAGATACAGTTACCTCAGCTGGGTGTAGTGATTCACGCCTGTAATCTCAGCACTTGGGAGGCTGAGGCAGGAGGATGGCCATGAGTTCAAGGCCTGCCTGAACTACTTAGCCAGACCTTGTCTCAAACAAAGAAAGAAGATATATATATATATATATATCTCCACCTCATAGATTTGTATGTGTGAAAGAGATTTATGTAATACATGGAATGCCCATATGACAGTGTTTGGTATGCAGAAGGCATCCCCTAAATATTAGCCACAACTATTACTTTTTTTTAAAAAAAAAAAGATAGCTTTATTGAAATACAGCTCATATACTATATAATTTAGGTATTTAAGGTGTATAATTCAGTGACTTTAGATGTATTTCACTACTTTTAGATATCATGTTAAATATATATTTTTACATATAACAAAATTTACTTTTTAAGCCATTTTGAAATACATAATTCAGAGCTGTGAAAGGTGGCACATGCCTGAATTCCAAGCACTTGGGAGGCTGAGGCAGGAGGATTGCTGACAGGTTTGAGGCCTGCCTGGGCTACATAGTGAGTTCAAGGCCAACCTGAACTACGTATCGAGACCCTTTCTCTCTCAAAAAAAGTATAATTCACTGGCATTAGTTACATTTACCGTGTAGTGCAACCAACAGCATTGTCTGTGCAAAACTTTTCAACCTTTCAAGTAATTCTGTGATCATTAAACAGCTTACTCTTGCCTTCTAGCCCCTGGTAACCTCTAATCCATTTTGTCCTCCACTCCCATCAACTTTCTCTGAGTTTGCATGTTCTAGGTACCAAGTATGAATGGAATGATACAATATTTCTCTTTATTTTTTTTTGTCTGGCATATTGCACTTGGAATAGTTTCAGTTGATCCATGTTGTAATATGTATCAGAACTTCATTCCTTTATGTGGACTACATTTTGTTTATTTAGTCATCTGGTGTCTATTCTTGGGTGGTTTCTACCTTTTGGGTCTAGTGAATACTGCTATGAATAATGCTTGTTGTGTGTGGTGTTTTGTTTTGTTTGTTGATTTTTTGAGACAGGGTCTGGCTATGTAGTTCAGACTGGCTTTGAACTCACTATGGATCATAGGGTGGCAATCCTCCTGCCTCAGCCTCTCAAGTGCTAGCATCACAGGTGTGCATCACCACACCTGGCTCTGTTGTGTGTTTTGTGGTGCTAGAGATTAAACCTAGGGTCTCACACATACATGCTAGGCAATTGCTGTACCACTGAACCAAGACCCTGGCTGCATTTGAACTCGTTTTTTTTTTTTTTGATACTGGTGATTGAACCTAGGGATGTCCTACTATTGAGCTCCATTGCCCGCCTCTCCTTTTTGGTTTTTGAGACTGAGTCTTGCTAAGGTGTGTAGTCCAGGCTGGCCTTGAACCCAGTGTCTTCTTGCCTCAGGATTCCAAGTGCTGGAATTAGAAGTATGTGCCTTCATACCTGGTTTTTCTCAGCTCTTTTTATTTATTTCTTTTTTTTAAGACAAGTTGTTAAGTTGCCCAGGTTTGCTTGGAATTTATGATACTCCTCTCTTAGCCTCCCAAGTAGCTGGGATTATGATATAAGTGTGTACCACTGTGCCCAGCTCATTTTAACCATTTTTACATCTACTGTTGTGGGGTATGAAATTTCATTATTGTGTATTTGTTATCACCGTTCAGCTTCAGAAATTTTTTTATCTTTTCAAACTGAAATTCTATAACCATTTTACAGTAACTGTTTATTCTCCTATCCCCTAGTCAAGTGATGGTGAACCTTTTAGAGCATTCAGTGATATGAACAGCCTGCTGCAGCAGGTGTGCCATAGGTTTATCATCACTGCCCTAGCCTCTGACAGCCACTAAGCCTAGAAGAACTTCATTCCTTTTTAAGGCTGAATAATATTCCATTATATACCACATTTTGTTTATCCATCCATCAGTTGGTGGCCACTTTGTTTCTGCCTTTTAACTATTGTAAACATTGGTATAAAAACATCTGTTCAGGTCCTTTCTCTTTCTGTCTTTCTTTCTTGACCCAGAAGTGAATTGCTTGATGAAATATCTGTTTATTGTTATTTTTATAATAATAATATCATCATCATCACAGTATAGGAATTAATCCCAGGGCCTTGTGATGCCAGGCATTTGCCTACCACTGAGCTATATTAGCTTTCAGTGCACCTAACTTGTTTAAAGAACTACCGTGTGGTGGCACGGTTACTGTACCATTTTACATTTCCACCAGCAGTGCACAAGGATTCTATTATAGGCTGAATTGTGCCTCACGCTCCTCATATTCATTTGTTGAACCTCAAACTCCTAAGATAAGTGTATATGTGGGTGTATTTGAAGATAGTATCTTTTTTTTGGTACTGGGAATCGAACTCAGGTCTTTGCGCTTGCTTTCGAGGCAGGCTGCAGAACCACTGAGCTAAATCCCCCGCCCTGAAGATAGTATCTTTAAGGAGATGAAATTAAAAGAAGTCTAGCTAGACAAGTAGTGCATGCCTGTAATCCCAGCATTCTGGGAGGCTGAGGTGGGAGGATTGAAAGTTCAAACCCAGCCTGGGCAACTTAGTGAGGTCTTGTCTCAAAAATAAAAAAGGGGGGACCAGGGATTTAGCTCAGTGGTTCTACTACCTGCCTCCGAAGCACAAGGTCCTGAGTTCAATCCCCCGTTCCAAAAAATAAATAAATAAATAAATAAGGGGGCGGGGGATGTAGCTCAGTTGTGCCATGCCTGCCTGGCAAGCACTAGGTCCTGTGTTTGATCTCTGGTACCAAAACAAACAAACAAACAAATAAACATTAAAAAGGGTGAGGGCCCGGGGATTTAGCTC